TCTGAAAGCGTCGGCCCCGAACTCTTCTGCTTCATAAACACGTGTTTGTCTGAAATTTTCTTTTGCATCTTGTGTTTCTCTTTGTGCCGAGAGCTGATTGGCTGATGAGGGGGGTCCTCTCTGTCCCACTTCATCATTTTGAGCCATAATTAATGCATCATAATTATTCTTTAAAATGTAACTAATGTCTTTTTATTTCCCTGATGCTCAAATCAAAAATATTGTATTTTCCCCCGAGAGAAAACAGCCACAACTAAACAGTACAAAATGGCCGACCCAGGTCTTCACATTAGTAAAGAGAGCTAAGCTAATGCTAACACTGCGAACACTGGTCTAATATGAGCTAATAAAAGCCTGACGCTACTGTTTCTTAATCGGACACATTCTGATCTAAAACCAGATTCTCCAACGGGACAAAGACATTTATTTAAAGACCTGTTTTTATTTCCTCATTCCAAAGGAGACATTTCTGTGTTTTTTCAAAACAACATTTAGTTTTTGTTCCATTGTTTTTAAAGCAGTCACAATCTGCTTAAATGAAGATACATTTGGCCAAAATGGAGTCATTTTGAACTTATGTTTCCTCACCTTTTGCAGTGTAAGTGTTATTTATGAACCCTGACATAAATGTAGAGTAAGATTACGGAGGAAAGAAGCTAAAATATTAAAACAAGAGTCACATGTTTCCTTGTCTGCTGCACACCGACTCTTGCACGTGTATTCCACTGTGGTTTTACTGCAGTTGGTTAAACCTGGTTGTGGCTCCACACGCAGCTGCACTTCCATCGACTGAAACCGTCACCGTTGGATTTTGTTTTTGATAGTTTTGTGTCTGATTCTGTGTTTGGTCCAGAGCTGTGGAGGTCGACGCTTCGGGACCTGAATAAAGCCACTTTTCACAAACACACTTTATTTATGTCACTTTTCTCTTCATTATTCTCTCGCTCCAAACACATTCACAAACTCTGATTTACACTAAACTGGACTCGGTCTTTCAACTCCTGGGCGTAGGTCAAATGAAAGGCCCATTAGCGCCCCCTGTCTGTAGGGGGCGTTCTCTTCACATGGGGAGAATGAGGTTTAGTTTTTCAAAATGTTTGATTTCTTTTTGCATCTTTATTAATAAAGTGGATAAGACCCATTTCTCACCTGTTGCTGTGGTGACGACAAACACTGAAATGTACATTTAGCACGATCAACAAACCGGCCTCAGCGTTTCACTGATATGGTTCAAATTTACTCCCACCTCATCCCAACAAGAGTACGGCCAAAAGTTGGAAGCAGATTTTTGATCAAACGGTGTGTGCGGCAAACACACTTTGGTTATTTCTACAGAGACTCATGAAAGTTATTCATAGAAACAGAATCACTGATCATTCAAACTACACAGTCACTCCCATCAGGGCTGTTCCACGGCGAGGGCCGTTCAATGCCGCTTGCGGCTGTAATCATTACCTCTGACATGTAACCTGTGACGTCTGACCTGTTACCCCTGACCCCTGACCCCAGACCTGAGGTCGGTCCCTGAGGAGCAGTTGATCGGACCGATCGCTAAGAACTCATCAAATCTGATCTTTTATAAAAATAAGCTCAAAGTGAAGTTAAAGTAAAGAGAATATGAGAAAATAAATTATTTACGTTTTTTTTATTACAAAAGAACAATCCTCCGACTTCTAAACCTCAGAACAGTCACGTGACAAAGAACAGGTTAAAGGTGAGCTCTGACTCACAGCTCCATCTAGTGGTGAGAACAGGACACAGCAGCTCAGAAGAACCACCGAGTCTAAGACCTGTGGTTTTTGTCTTAATTCTTAAGACAAAAACCACAATCAAAGTGTTTGAACAGAACAATATCTTTGGTTTCCTAAATATTAATATCTTATCGATAAATAAGTGCATTCTGATGCTGCAGCGGAGACTCATTAAGACACTGGAGCAGAAAAATAAATATGTTCAAAATGTTAAGACACTGAGCGGCACACGGTTATGAGGCAGCATCGGTCCTGGGTCTACAGCCTCAGTCCTGGGTCTACAGCCTCAGTCCTGGGTCTACAGCCTCGGTCCTGGGTCTACAGCCTCGGTCCTGGGTCTACAGCCTCGGTCCTGGGTCTACAGCCTCAGTCCTGGGTCTACAGCCTCAGTCCTGGGTCTACAGCCTCAGTCCTGGGTCTACAGTCTCAGTCCTGGGTCTACATCCTCAGTCCTGGGTCTACAGCCTCAGTCCTGGGTCTACAGCCTCAGTCCTGGGTCTACAGCCTCAGTCCTGGGTCTACAGCCTCAGTCCTGGGTCTACAGCCTCAGTCCTGGGTCTACAGCCTCAGTCCTGGGTCTACAGCCTCAGTCCTGGGTCTACATCCTCAGTCCTGGGTCTACAGTCTCAGTCCTGGGTCTACAGTCTCAGTCCTGGGTCTACAGCCTCAGTCCTGGGTCTACAGCCTCAATCCTGGGTCTACAGCCTCAGTCCTGGGTCTACAGCCTCAGTCCTGGGTCTACAGCCTCAGTCCTGGGTCTACAGTCTCAGTCCTGGGTCTACAGCCTCAGTCCTGGGTCTACATCCTCAGTCCTGGGTCTACAGTCTCGGTCCTGGGTCTACAGTCTCGGTCCTGGGTCTACAGTCTCGGTCCTGGGTCTACAGCCTCGGTCCTGGGTCTACAGCCTCAGTCCTGGGTCTACAGCCTCAGTCCTGGGTCTACAGTCTCAGTCCTGGGTCTACAGTCTCAGTCCTGGGTCTACAGTCTCGGTCCTGGGTCTACAGTCTCGGTCCTGGGTCTACAGCCTCAGTCCTGGGTCTACAGCCTCAGTCCTGGGTCTACAGTCTCAGTCCTGGGTCTACAGTCTCAGTCCTGGGTCTACAGTCTCAGTCCTGGGTCTACAGCCTCGGTCCTGGGTCTACAGCCTCAGTCCTGGGTCTACAGCTCAGTCCTGGGTCTACAGCCTCAGTCCTGGGTCTACAGCCTCAGTCCCTACAGCTCAGTCCTGGGTCTACAGCCTCAGTCCTGGGTCTACAGTCTCAGTCCTGGGTCTACAGCCTCAGTCCTGGGTCTACAGCCTCAGTCCTGGGTCTACAGCCTCAGTCCTGGGTCTACAGTCTCAGTCCTGGGTCTACAGCCTCAGTCCTGGGTCTACAGCCTCAGTCCTGGGTCTACAGCCTCAGTCCTGGGTCTACAGCCTCAGTCCTGGGTCCACAGCCTCAGTCCTGGGTCTACAGCCTCAGTCCTGGGTCTACAGTCTCAGTCCTGGGTCTACAGTCTCAGTCCTGGGTCTACAGCCTCAGTCCTGGGTCTACAGTCTCAGTCCTGGGTCTACAGCCTCAGTCCTGGGTCTACAGCCTCAGTCCTGGGTCTACAGCCTCAGTCCTGGGTCTACAGCCTCAGTCCTGGGTCCACAGCCTCAGTCCTGGGTCTACAGCCTCAGTCCTGGGTCTACAGCCTCAGTCCTGGGTCTACAGCCTCAGTCCTGGGTCTACAGTCTCAGTCCTGGGTCTACAGCCTCAGTCCTGGGTCTACAGCCTCAGTCCTGGGTCTACAGCCTCAGTCCTGGGTCTACAGCCTCAGTCCTGGGTCTACAGCCTCAGTCCTGGGTCCACAGCCTCAGTCCTGGGTCTACAGCCTCAGTCCTGGGTCTACAGCCTCAGTCCTGGGTCTACAGCCTCAGTCCTGGGTCTACAGCCTCAGTCCTGGGTCTACAGCCTCAGTCCTGGGTCTACAGCCTCAGTCCTGGGTCTACAGCCTCAGTCCTGGGTCTACAGCCTCAGTCCTGGGTCTACAGCCTCAGTCCTGGGTCTACAGTCTCAGTCCTGGGTCTACAGCCTCAGTCCTGGGTCTACAGTCTCAGTCCTGGGTCTACAGCCTCAGTCCTGGGTCTACAGCCTCAGTCCTGGGTCTACAGCCTCAGTCCTGGGTCTACAGCCTCAGTCCTGGGTCTACAGCCTCAGTCCTGGGTCTACAGCCTCAGTCCTGGGTCTACACAGCCTCAGTCCTGGGTCTACAGCCTCAGTCCTGGGTCTACAGCCTCAGTCCTGGGTCTACAGCCTCAGTCCTGGGTCTACATCCTCGGTCCTGGGTCTACAGCCGCGGTCCTGGGTCTACAGCCTCAGTCCTGGGTCTACAGTCTCAGTCCTGGGTCTACAGCCTCAGTCCTGGGTCTACAGCCTCAGTCCTGGGTCTACAGCCTCAGTCCTGGGTCTACAGCCTCAGTCCTGAATCTACAGCCTCAGTCCTGGGTCTACAGCCTCAGTCCTGGGTCTACAGCCTCAGTCCTGGGTCTACAGCCTCAGTCCTGGGTCTACAGCCTCAGTCCTGGGTCTACAGCCTCAGTCCTGGGTCTACAGCCTCAGTCCTGGGTCTACAGTCTCAGTCCTGGGTCTACAGCCTCAGTCCTGGGTCTACAGCCTCAGTCCTGGGTCTACAGCCTCAGTCCTGGGTCTACAGCCTCAGTCCTGGATCTACAGCCTCAGTCCTGGGTCTACAGCCTCAGTCCTGGGTCTACAGCCTCAGTCCTGGGTCTACAGCCTCAGTCCTGGGTCTAAGCACAGAGAGGATCCAGGACACTCCACATTAAACATTAACAGTGGTCTCTGCTCCTTATGGACCAATGTGTTTGTTATCGTTGATTCTCTGATCTGTTTTGGAGAATCCACAACTTTGTAAAGTCCTTTGAGAAAAGCACTGCTGTGATTTAGGGCTGTACAAAAAAAATAAAATAAAATGTTCTCTGACGACAGCAGAAACCCTGGGCCCACAGCCTTCTCCTTTCACAGGTGCTGGCAGAGACCCATGTCCTCCACTCTCCTCCTGGGTCTCTCTCCTGGGTCTCTCTCCTGGGTCTCTCTCCTGGGTCTCTCTCCTGTCCTCCTGGGTTAGGTTAGGGTCTCTCTTGGGTCTCTTTCTTGGGTCTCTCTCCTGTCCTCCTGGGTCTCTCTCCTGTCCTCCTGGGTCTCTCTCCTGTCCTCCTGGGTCTCTCCTGGGTCTCTCCTGGGTCTCTCCTGGGTCCTCCCTCGGTCACCGTCTCTTCCTGCTCTCTCCCTCCCTGCTCTCTCCCTCCCTGCTCTCTCGTTCCCCGCTCCCCTCCCCCCCAGAGTCCAGGCCGTCCACGTTGAGATGCCTGCGGCTGTAGTGCTTGATGAGGGCCCCCGGGAGCAGGGCCATGAGGGCGATGGCCAGGAGCTGAGCCAGAGTCCCCCAGGAGAAGATGTCGTCCAGAGAAGAGAGCTGCGACAGGATGGAGCCGGTGCGGACACAGATGAAGTTATACGGGATCAGGCCTGGACACAACAAATACACAACCTTTACACAACAAATACACAACCATCACAACCAGGTGTCCACATGAACCATCTCTCCAACTGTTGGTTCATGTTTTAGATGGTGAGACACTTCATTAGGTGCACCTGTCCAACTGCAAATTCCTGATCAGCCAATCACAGGGCAGCATTTAGGCGTAGACATGGTCAAGACCATCTGCTGCATGGCTGCTGGTGCCAGACGGGCTGTTCTGAGTATTTCAGAAACTTCTGATCTACTGAGACACACAACCATCTCTAGGTTTACAGAGAGTGGTCCCAAAAAGAGAAAATATCCAGTGAGCGGCAGTTCGGTGGCATAAAAAATAATTATATATAGAGCCTCTCTGAACATGCAACACGTCAGACCTTGAGGCGGCTACAGCAGCAGAAGACCGCACCGGGTGCCAGTCCTGTCAGCTAAAAACAGGAAACTGAGGCTACATTTCGTACAGGTTTAAACTGGACAGTAGAAGATTGTAAAAAGTTGGTCTGATGAGTCTGGATTTCTGCTGCGACTTTGGGATGGGTCGGAGTTTGGAGTCAACAACATGAAAGGATCCATCCTTGTATCAAGGATCAATGGTTCGGGCTGGTGCGGGGGGGGGGGAGAGGAGAGATGGAGTGGGAGAGAGGGAGAAGGGAAGCACTTAATTATTTGTTCATTAGTGAGGACTAATCTAAAGTGTGACCAAAGGTGTTTGTATCTGTCTGTGTTTTTGAGTGAGAGAGGAGGAGGTGCAGAGGAGGTGCAGAGGAGGTGCAGACTCTCACCGATGAAGACTGAGGAGAAGAAGATGGGCATGGGCACACTCAGCACCGGACACGAGATGTTCAGGAACCAGTTTGGAGTCATGGGAAAGAAACGCAGGAAGAGGAGGAAGAAGAAGAGACTGCTGCGGTTCTCCTCCACCTGAGAGGAGGAGAGAGGAGGAGGGATGGAGGAGGGATGGAGAGGAGGAGAGAGGAGGAGGGATGGAGGAGGGATGGAGAGGAGGAGAGAGGAGGAGGGATGGAGGAGGGATGGAGAGGAGGAGAGGGGAGGAGGGATGGAGGAGGGATGGAGAGGGAGAGGAGGAGAGAGGAGAGAGGAGGGATGGAGAGGAGAGGGAGAGGAGAGGAGAGAGAGAGGAGAGATGAGAGAAGGAGACCCCAGAGGAGCAGAGTCCTGAGAACATGGATTTTCTAAGGTCATGTTTAAACGTGTTTTAATGATGGACAGTTTGGGGAAGTGCTCAGAGATGAAGATGCTGTGGTTCAGGGCAGTGTGGAGACAGTACCTTCCTCTGCAGCAGCGCCACCTTCTGGGGGAAGAAGCGAACCACATACTGCTTCCCGAAGGCGTCGGACAAAAGGAAACAGAAGGTGGAGCCTGTGGTGGTCAGAAGACAGGCCAGGAGCAGCCCCTCCCAGGGCCCGAAGATGGCCCCCGCCAACATGTTCTACACACACACACAACACACACACTGTTAACTACACAACACAGTATTAACTACACACTACAACACACTGTTAAGTAACTAATGTTTATTTAAACAGCACAGACCAAGGCTTTACTGTTCAGACATTGTTCTGTTCTCTCCACGGTGACGACAGAGACCAGAACACACTGGTCCATCAAAGCCTCCGATCAAACACCCTCCATCCACTAACTCCTTACATTCAGACTATTGCACATGTTTTAGTGATAGGGGAAACCGGAGCACCCGGAGGAAACCTACGCAGACAGGGAGAACATGCAAACTCCACTCAGAAAGGCCCAGTTCCGACCTGGCCTCGAGCCCAGGACCTTCTTGCTGAGAGCGAGAGTGGTAACCACTCAGCCACCGGGCTATTACCAACACACAACAGACTGTCAACAACACACAATACAGTGTTAACAACCACACACAACACACAACAGGCAGATACAAACACAGAGCGACACAGACCAGGAAGGAGGAGCCTGGGATGGCGAAGGACTGTTTGTAGAGATAGGCCGAGCAGAACAGCAGCACCACGTAACCATGGTGATCACGCTTGTAGAGTTTCAACATGCGGGCCAGGGCCTTCAGCTCGTCCAGGTCCGAGGGGAAGGTCAGCCTGAAACACACACACACGTCAGCCTGAAACACACACACATCAGCCTGAAACACACACACATCAGCCTGAAACACACACACACATCAGCCTGAAACACACACACACACATCAGCCTGAAACACACACACACGTCAGCCTGAAACACACACACATCAGCCTGAAACACACACACATCAGCCTGAAACACACACACACATCAGCCTGAAACACACACACACACACGTCAGCCTGAAACACACACACATCAGCCTGAAACACACACACACATAAGTCAGCCTGAAACACACACACACACACACATCAGCCTGAAACACACACACACACATCAGCCTGAAACACACACACATCAGCCTGAAATACACACACACATAAGTCAGCCTGAAACACACACACACACACACACACATCAGCCTGAAACACACACACACACATCAGCCTGAAACACACACACACACACGTCAGCCTGAAACACACACACATCAGCCTGAAACACACACACACATCAGCCTGAAACACACACACACATCAGCCTGAAATACACACACACATAAGTCAGCCTGAAACACACACACACACATCAGCCTGAAACACACACACACACACGTCAGCCTGAAACACACACACATCAGCCTGAAACACACACACACACACGTCAGCCTGAAACACACACACACACGTCAGCCTGAAACACACACACACACATCAGCCTGAAACACACACACACACACATCAGCCTGAAACACACACACGTCAGCCTAAAACACACACACACATCAGCCTGAAATACACACACACATAAGTCAGCCTGAAACACACACACACACATCAGCCTGAAACACACACACACACACGTCAGCCTGAAACACACACACATCAGCCTGAAACACACACACACATAAGTCAGCCTGAGACACACACACACACACATCAGCCTGAAACACACACACACATAAGTCAGCCTGAAACACACACACACATAAGTCAGCCTGAGACACACACACATCAGCCTGAAACACACACACACATAAGTCAGCCTGAGACACACACACATCAGCCTGAAACACACACACACATAAGTCAGCCTGAAACACACACACATCAGCCTGAAACACACTGTAATGACAGTTTTTAGAGTAATCACATTAAAACCAGCCGCAGCAAATACACGGACGTAAAAGGCCTTTTCAATGCAGAGACGACCTTCTGACGCCATGCTGAGCTTTGTGAGGGTCCCTGCTGTCTGTCACACCCTTGTGTCTTTCGCATCTTGCATCTGTATGCCTGCATTTCTACCATTGTCTGTCTGTTCGCACCTCCATGCCACTGTGTCTGATTGCCTCACCACAGGGCATGGCGCCTGCGCTCCCTATGCGCCTCCTTCACCGGTGGCCCCCTCCCATCTGTTGTGGGCGTGACGGTCTTTCTATGTAAACAGGAAGCCTGAGCTCTGCGAGCCAGAGCTGGGTATGCTGCCTTTTGGATATGCTAGCTCTCCGCACGTGTGTACAATAAACTTACGCTCCTGATTTAAGACAAAGACTTTTGAGCTTTCTCCTTGCTTTGGGGTATGTAATTCTATAACAACACACACACACATCAGCCTGAAACACACACACACACATAAGTCAGCCTGAGACACACACACACACACATCAGCCTGAAACACACACACACACATCAGCCTGAAACACACACACACACATAAGTCAGCCTGAGACACACACACACACACATCAGCCTGAAACACACACACACACATCAGCCTGAAACACACACACACATCAGCCTGAAACACACACACACATCAGCCTGAAATACACACACACATAAGTCAGCCTGAAACACACACACACACACATCAGCCTGAAACACACACACACACACACGTCAGCCTGAAACACACACACACATAAGTCAGCCTGAGACACACACACACACACATCAGCCTGAAACACACACACACATAAGTCAGCCTGAAACACACACACATCAGCCTGAAAACACACACACACATCAGCCTGAAACACACACACACGCACATCAGCCTGAAACACACACACACACACATCAGCCTGAAACACACACACACATAAGTCAGCCTGAGACAACACACACACACATCAGCCTGAACACACACACATCAGCCTGAAAACACACACACACATAAGTCAGCCTGAGACACACACACACACACATCAGCCTGAAACACACACACACATCAGCCTGAAACACACACACATCAGCGAACAAAACACATCAGCCTGAATACACACACATAAGTCAGCCTGAAACACACACACACACATCACACACACACACACACACAGTCAGCCTGAAACACACACACACATAAGTCAGCCTGAGACACACACACACACACATCAGCCTGAAACACACACACACATAAGTCAGCCTGAAACACACACACATCAGCCTGAAACACACACACACACATCAGCCTGAAACACACACACACGCACATCAGCCTGAAACACACACACACACACATCAGCCTGAAACACACACACACATAAGTCAGCCTGAGACACACACACACACACATCAGCCTGAAACACACACACATCAGCCTGAAACACACACACACATAAGTCAGCCTGAGACACACACACACACACACATCAGCCTGAAACACACACACACATAAGTCAGCCTGAGACACACACACACACACATCAGCCTGAAACACACACACACATAAGTCAGCCTGAAACACACACACATCAGCCTGAAACACACACACACACATCAGCCTGAAACACACACACACGCACATCAGCCTGAAACACACACACACACACATCAGCCTGAAACACACACACACATAAGTCAGCCTGAGACACACACACACACACATCAGCCTGAAACACACACACATCAGCCTGAAACACACACACACATAAGTCAGCCTGAGACACACACACACACACACATCAGCCTGAAACACACACACACATAAGTCAGCCTGAGACACACACACACACACATCAGCCTGAAATACACACACACATAAGTCAGCCTGAAACACACACACATCAGCCTGAAACACACACACACATAAGTCAGCCTGAAACACACACACACACATCAGCCTGAAACACACACACACACACGTCAGCCTGAAACACACACACATCAGCCTGAAACACACACACATCAGCCTGAAACACACACACACATCAGCCTGAAACACACACACACATCAGCCTGAAATACACACACACATAAGTCAGCCTGAAACACACACACACACACATCAGCCTGAAACACACACACACACACGTCAGCCTGAAACACACACACACATAAGTCAGCCTGAGACACACACACACACATCAGCCTGAAACACACACACACGCACATCAGCCTGAAACACACACACACACACACATCAGCCTGAAACACACACACACATAAGTCAGCCTGAGACACACACACACACATCAGCCTGAAAGACACACACACACATCAGCCTGAAACACACACACACATAAGTCAGCCTGAGACACACACACACACACATCAGCCTGAAACACACACACACACATCAGCCTGAAACACACACACACATAAGTCAGCCTGAGACACACACACACACACATCAGCCTGAAACACACACACACATAAGTCAGCCTGAGACACACACACACACACATCAGCCTGAAATACACACACACACATCAGCCTGAAATACACACACACATAAGTCAGCCTGAAACACACACACATCAGCCTGAAACACACACACACATAAGTCAGCCTGAGACACACACACACACATCAGCCTGAAATACACACACACACATCAGCCTGAAATACACACACACATAAGTCAGCCTGAGACACACACACATCAGCCTGAACACACACACACACACACACACATCAGCCTGAAACACACACACACATAAGTCAGCCTGAGACACACACACACACACATCAGCCTGAAACACACACACACACACACACGTCAGCCTGAACACACACACACACACACACATCAGCCTGAAACACACACACACACACACAAATCAGCCTGAAACACACAAGCGTCAGCCTGAGACACACACACATCAGCCTGAAACACACACACATAGGCCTGAAACACACACACATCAGCCTGAAACACACACACACATAAGTCAGCCTGAGACACACACACACACACATCAGCCTGAAATACACACACACACATCAGCCTGAAATACACACACACATAAGTCAGCCTGAGACACACACACATCAGCCTGAAACACACACACACACACACATCAGCCTGAAACACACACACACATAAGTCAGCCTGAGACACACACACACACACATCAGCCTGAAACACACACACACACACACACGTCAGCCTGAAACACACACACACAAATCAGCCTGAAACACACAAGCGTCAGCCTGAGACACACACACATCAGCCTGAAACACACACACATCAGCCTGAAACACACACGCGTCAGCCTGAGACACACACACATCAGCCTGAAACACACACGCGTCAACCTAAGACACACACACATCAGCCTGAAACACACACGCGTCAGCCTGAGACACACACACACACACATCAGCCTGAAACACACACGCGTCAGCCTAAGACACACACACATCAGCCTGAAACACACACGCGTCAGCCTGAGACACACACACATCAGCCTGAAACACACACACATCAGCCTGAAACACACACACACGCACATCAGCCTGAAACACACACACGTCAGCCTGAAACACACACACACACACACATCAGCCTGAAACACACACACACATCAGCCTGAAACACACACACATCAGCCTGAAACACACACACGCACATCAGCCTGAAACACACACACACACATCAGCCTGAAACACACACACACGCGTCAGCCTGAAACACACACACATCAGCCTGAAACACACACACGCACATCAGCCTGAAACACACACACATCAGCCTGAAACACACATCAGCCTGAAACACACACACACACACGTCAGCCTGAAACACACACACACACATCAGCCTGAAACACACACACACATCAGCCTGAAACACACACACGCACATCAGCCTGAAACACACACACACACGTCAGCCTTAAACACACACACACACACACATCAGCTTGAAACACACACATCAGCCTTAAACACACATACACACATCAGCCTGAAACACACACACACACATCAGCCTGAAACACACACACACGTCAGCCTTAAACACACACACACGTCAGCCTGAAACACACACGTCAGCCTGAAACACACACGTCAGCCTGAAACACACACGTCAGCCTGAAACACACACACACACATCAGCCTGAGACACACACACACATCAGCCTGAAACACACACACACATCAGCCTGAAACACACACACACACATCAGCCTGAGACACACACACACATCAGCCTGAAACACACACACACATCAGCCTGAAACACACACACGTCAGCCTTAAACACACACACACACGTCAGCCTTAAACACACACACACGTCAGCCTTAAACAGACACACACACATCACTGCTATCTCCAGTTGTACCACTGTCTCAGATGTTAAGTCCGTTTCTGGGCGGAGTGCAGTGGTGGAGATGATTCCCGGGAGTCAGGAGCTATAGTCAGGAGCTACAGTCAGGAGCTGCAGTCACAGTCAGGAGCTGCAGTCAGGAGCTACAGTCAGGAGCTACAGTCACAGTCAGGAGCTGCAGTCAGGAGCTACAGTCAGGAGCTGCAGTCACAGTCAGGAGCTACAGTCAGGAGCTACAGTCAGGAGCTACAGTCAGGAGCTGCAGTCAGGAGCTACAGTCAGGAGCTACAGTCAGGAGCTGCAGTCACAGTCAGGAGCTACAGTCAGGAGCTACAGTCAGGAGCTGCAGTCACAGTCAGGAGCTACAGTCAGGAGCTACAGTCAGGAGCTACAGTCAGGAGCTACAGTCACAGTCAGGAGCTACAGTCAGGAGCTGCGGTCAGGAGCTACAGTCAGGAGCTACAGTCAGGAGCTACAGTCAGGAGCTACAGTCAGGAGCTGCGGTCAGGAGCTACAGTCAGGAGCTACAGTCAGGAGCTGCAGTCAGGAGCTACAGTCAGGAGCTACAGTCAGGAGCTGCGGTCAGGAGCTACAGTCAGGAGCTACAGTCAGGAGCTGCAGTCAGGAGCTACAGTCAGGAGCTGCGGTCAGGAGCTACAGTCAGGAGCTACAGTCAGGAGCTACAGTCACAGTCAGGAGCTACAGTCAGGAGCTACAGTCAGGAGCTGCAGTCAGGAGCTACAGTCAGGAGCTACAGTCAGGAGCTGCAGTCACAGTCAGGAGCTACAGTCAGGAGCTGCAGTCACAGTCAGGAGCTGCAGTCACAGTCAGGAGCTGCAGTCAGGAGCTACAGTCAGGAGCTGCAGTCACAGTCAGGAGCTACAGTCAGGAGCTACAGTCAGGAGCTACAGTCAGGAGCTGCAGTCACAGTCAGGAGCTGCAGTCAGGAGCTGCAGTCACAGTCAGGAGCTACAGTCAGGAGCTACAGTCAGGAGCTACAGTCAGGAGCTACAGTCACAGTCAGGAGCTACAGTCAGGAGCTGCGGTCAGGAGCTACAGTCAGGAGCTACAGTCAGGAGCTACAGTCAGGAGCTACAGTCAGGATCTACAGTCACAGTCAGGAGCTACAGTCAGGAGCTGCGGTCAGGAGCTACAGTCAGGAGCTACAGTCAGGAGCTGCAGTCAGGAGCTACAGTCAGGAGCTACAGTCAGGAGCTGCGGTCAGGAGCTACAGTCAGGAGCTACAGTCAGGAGCTGCAGTCAGGAGCTACAGTCAGGAGCTGCGGTCAGGAGCTACAGTCAGGAGCTACAGTCAGGAGCTACAGTCACAGTCAGGAGCTACAGTCAGGAGCTGCAGTCAGGAGCTACAGTCAGGAGCTGCAGTCAGGAGCTACAGTCAGGAGCTACAGTCAGGAGCTACAGTCAGGAGCTACAGTCACAGTCAGGAGCTACAGTCAGGAGCTGCGGTCAGGAGCTACAGTCAGGAGCTACAGTCAGGAGCTACAGTCACAGTCAGGAGCTACAGTCAGGAGCTACAGTCAGGAGCTACAGTCACAGTCAGGAGTTACAGTCAGGAGCTGCGGTCAGGAGCTACAGTCAGGAGCTACAGTCAGGAGCTGCAGTCAGGAGCTACAGTCAGGAGCTACAGTCAGGAGCTACAGTCACAGTCAGGAGCTACAGTCAGGAGCTACAGTCACAGTCAGGAGCTACAGTCAGGAGCTGCAGTCAGGAGCTACAGTCAGGAGCTACAGTCAGAAGCTACAGTCACAGTCAGGAGCTACAGTCAGGAGCTACAGTCAGGAGCTACAGTCAGAAGCCCTCCTGAAGAGTGTGAGCGGAGGTGACTGACTGCTTTGGGGAAACCTGGGACTGGCTGTTTTGTATTGCTGCACAGATGGTTCCACCAGGGGCCGTGACACCTGGTCCTGGAACCAGCGATACCTCCAAGGAGCCCTTCTTCTGGTGCTCTCCGGGGTCTGCCAGGTCTCAGGTGTGGAGGTTGGTCGGACTTGGGAGAACATCATGTTGTGTGAGGAACTTCGTGGGCAGAGGTTCAGCCCAGAGTTCTGCCAACCGTCTTGCTGCGACTGTCTTCCTCCACCTTTGCCTTGGACCAGTTGGTGCTTCTCCTTGGACCAGTTGGTGCTTCTCCTTGGACCAGTTGGTGCTTCTCCTTGGACCAGTTGGTGCTTCTCCTTGGACCGGTTGGTGCTTCTCCTTGGACCAGTTGGTGCTTCTCCTTGGACCAGTTGGTGCTTCTCCTTGGACCAGTTGGTGCTTCTCCTTGGACCAGTTGGTGCTTCTCCTTGGACCAGTTGGTGCTTCTCCTTGGACCGGTTGGTGCTTCTCCTTGGACCAGTTGGTGCTTCTCCTTGGACCAGTTGGTGCTTCTCCTTGGACCAGTTGGTGCTTCTCCTTGGACCAGTTGGTGCTTCTCCTTGGACCAGTTGGTGCTTCTCCTTGGACCAGTTGGTGCTTCTCCTTGGACCAGTTGGTGCTTCTCCTTGGACCGGTTGGTGCTTCTCCTTGGACCGGTTGGTGCTTCTTCTTTCCGCAGACCCCTTTGTAGGTTGACAAAGGAGAGCTCTCTCCCCATGGCCACGTTTCTCACCTTGACATCTGCAGAGTCCCGCTGAGAAGTAGGTGCAGCATGGTGGATAGACCATGAAGGGTAACGCTGCTCAAGGACCAGGAGAGACCCAGCCATATCCTTAAAAACTGGCTGATGGTCTTCTCCAGTCCCTCAACATTGTCAATGGTACCTCATAGATTAACAGGGGCCAGAGTCTTCTCAGCAGGACTCCATGCTGGTACATCCATGCCTTACATTTCCTGAGAGACCAGATTTGTCGATGGTTGATGGAGCCAAGATGTCAGGTCAGCGACTTTTCCTTTTTTAAGTTAGTAAGTAATGTTTATTTATTCAACACATTTTACAGACCAAGGTCACCCCAAAACACTAATTACAATTGTTCAGAGTTCAGATAGTTTTCCATTCTCTCCACACATTTACAGACTGCGCTTGTTCGCTGTTTGCTTGGGTCATTACCAGTGAATGAACCCCCTTTGGGCAGCCCTGGGGGTACTCGGATACAGGTACTCGGATACAGGTACTCGGATGGGGGTACTCAGATGGGGGGATCAGATGGGACTCAGATGGGGGGACTCAGATGGGGGTACTCAGATGGGGGTACTCAGATGGGGGACTCAGATGGGGGGACTCAGATGGGGGACTCAGATGGGGGACTCAGATGGGGGGACTCAGATGGGGGGACTCAGATGGGGGGACTCAGACTCAGATGGGGGGTACTCAGTGGACTCATGGGGACTAGATGGGGGTACTCAGATGGGGGGACTCAGATGGGGGGGACTCAGATGGGGGGACTCAGATGGGGGGACTCAGAGATGGGGGGACTCAGATGGGGGGACTCAGATGGGGGGACTCAGATGGGGGACTCAGATGGGGGGACTCAGATGGGGGACTCAGATGGGGGGACTCATGGGCAGATGGGGGACTCAGATGGGGGACTCAGATGGGGGGACTCAGATGGGGGGACTCAGATGGGGGACTCAGATGGGGGGACTCAGATGGGGGGACTCAGATGGGGGGACTCATGGGATCAGATGGGGGACTCAGATGGGGGGAACTCAGATGGGGGGACTCAGATGGGGGGACTCGATGGGGGGACTCAGATGGGGGGACTCAGATGGGGGGACTCAGATGGGGGGACTCAGATGGGGGTACTCAGATGGGGGGACTCAGATGGGGGGACTCATCAGTATTTAGTTTCTCTGTTTCCTCAAAACATTTCCCTCAGAAAGTGACCTTTGAAAGAACTTTGTGATTTGGGATGCAGCCCAAGGACACAGCTGTGTCTGTGTGTGTCTGTGTGTGTGTGTGTGTGTGTCTGTGTGTGTGTGTCTGTGTCTGTGTGTGTGTGTGTCTGTGTGTGTGTGTGTGTGTCTGTGTGTGTGTGTATGTCTGTGTTTGTGTGTGTGTCTGTGTGTGTGTGTGTGTCTGTGTGTGTATGTCTGTGTGTGTGTGTGTCTGTGTGTGTATGTCTGTGTCTGTGTGTGTGTGTGTGTGTGTGTGGCTTCGTGTGTGGTGATCAGAAGAGCTGGCGCAGCGATATTCAATCATCTGAACTCACTGTAGCTGATACTATACACACACACAGAGATACACACTCATAGATACACACACACACTCAGAGATACACACTCATAGATACACACACACACTCAGAGATACACACTCATAGATACACACACACACTCAGAGATACACACTCATAGATACACACACACACACACACACACAGAGATACACACTCATAGATACACACACACACTCAGAGATACACACTCATAGATACACACACACACTCAGAGATACACACTCATAGATACACACACACACACACAGAGATACACACTCATAGACACACACACAGAGATACACACTCATAGATACACACACACACACAGAGATACACACTCATAGATACACACACACACTCAGAGATACACACTCATAGATACACACACACACACACAGAGATACACACTCATAGATACACACACACACACACACACACAGAGATACACACTCATAGATACACACACACACACAGAGATACACACTCATAGATACACACACACACACACACAGAGATACACACTCATAGATACACACACACACACACAGAGATCACACTCATAGATACACACACACACACAGAGATACACACTCCACACACACACACACACAGAGATCAAACTCATAGATACACACACACACACAGAGATACACACTCCACACACACACACAGAGATCACACTCATAGATACACACACACACAGAGAGATACACACTCATAGATACGCACACACACACACACACACACACATACACACACACACAGACACACTTCCTCATGTCCTAACAGATGAATGAGTTCTTATAACATTAATACTGACATTTTCATCAAATGTACTTTTACTTTGAGCCCATTGGACTTTTTTATTCAGTAAATAACTAACTTCCCGTTGTCTTGTGAAGCTGAGAGCTGATTGGCTGAGAGCTGATTGGCTGAGCGCTGATTGGCTGAGAGAGGGGGTCCTCTCTGTCATTGTTCTGTCTGAAAGATGAGACAGAATCAAGGGTCTAACAGTGTTATTACAGTCTGCCTCCAGCCACCTCCTCGCCTGCTCCCCACGCACCTCCTCACCTGCTCCCCACGCACCTCCTCACCTGCTCCCCACGCACCTCCTCACCTGCTCTCCTCCTCCTCCTCCTCCCATGCACCTCCCTTCTGTTGTCCTCCACCTACTCACACGCCTCCTCACCTGTACTTCCTCTTTGCCACGCACCTCCTCACCTGTTTTCCTCCTCCTCCACCTCCTCACATGCCTCCTCACCTGTACTCCTCCTGCTCCTCCCCCTCCTCCAGCTCCCCGGGCTCTCTCAGCTTCTCTAGCCGGGGCAGGTGTGTGGAGAGCAGGTAGAGAAAGACGCTCGCAGCCGCCACGATCAGCGCGAGTCCCCCCAGAGAGCGCATCTCTCCTGATCCTCCGGGTGCTCCGGGTGCTCCGGCGTCTCTCTCAGGACTCAGAACTTTCTCTGGGTCTTTCTCAGGACTCTGTGACTTTCTCTGGGTCTTTCTCAGGACTCTGTGACTTTCTCTGGGTCTTTCTCAGGACTCTGTGTCTGGGTCTCTCTCAGGACTCTGTGACTTTCTCAAACCACCTCCTGCTGCAGATATAGCGGCCGCAGAGGAAAGTCCCGGGAGCAGCAGCAGGGGACGTGGAGCCGCGCGGTTGGACGTGGACCCCGCGGTGTCGCTTACGGGGGAGGCCATGGGGGAGGCCGACATTCCGCGGTGGGGCTCGGGTTCTTCCTCCCGCTGACCGCACACACCTCCATGTGTCTCAGTCACTCAATAACTCTCTAAAGCTGTATTCACAGAGAACTGACGCAAACTGACGCAAAGTGCTACATGCGCACGTGCAGCCACAGAGTCCCGCTGGTGATTTATTTATTTATATATTCATATATTTTTATAAATATATTTTAACTGCATCTGACAGTGGCGACCAACAGGTTTCTCAGCACTATACACCTGCACTTACACACAGTGACCAGCAGGTGGCGCCGCAGGACAGTTACTCTTTTGGGACGAGATCAATACAATACTATTAAATCACCAACACAGACCACATGGTGTTGGACCATAGGGAGAGACCACATGGTATTGGACCATAGGGAGAGACCACATGGTGTTGGTCCATAGGGAGAGACCACATGGTATTGGACCATAGGGAGAGACCACATGGTGTTGGTCCATAGGGAGAGACCACATGGTGTTGGACCATAGGGAGAGACCACATTGTGTTGGTCCATAGGGAGAGACCACATGGTATTGGACCATAGGGAGAGACCATATGGTATTGGACCATAGGGAGAGACCACATGGTGTTGGTCCATAGGGAGAGACCACATGGTATTGGACCATAGGGAGAGACCACATGGTGTTGGTCCATAGGGAGAGACCACATGGTATTGGACCATAGGGAGAGACCATATGGTATTGGACCATAGGGAGAGACCATATGGTATTGGAACATAGGGAGAGACCACATGGTGTTGGACCATAGGGAGAGACCACATGGTATTGGACCATAGGGAGAGACCACATGGTGTTGGTCCATAGGGAGAGACCACATGGTATTGGACCATAGGGAGAGACCACATGGTATTGGACCATAGGGAGAGACCACATGGTGTTGGACCATAGGGAGAGACCATATGGTATTGGACCATAGGGAGAAACCACATGGTATTGGACCATAGGGAGAGACCACATGGTGTTGGTCCATAGGGAGAGACCACATGGTATTGGACCATAGGGAGAGACCACATGGTATTGGACCATAGGGAGAGACCACATGGTGTTGGTCCATAGGGAGAGACCACATGGTATTGGACCATAGGGAGAGACCACATGGTATTGGACCATAGGGAGAGACCACATGGTGTTGGACCATAGGGAGAGACCATATGGTATTGGACCATGTTAAAGTTAGATACATTTTGAAATGTATTAAATGAAATCTCTGGAAATATAGAGATTTTATACTGACTTCTTCACACACACACAAATACACACAGACACACACACACACACACACAGACACACACACACACACACACACAGACAGAAACACACACCCACACATGCGCATACACGCACACAAACACACACATGCGCGCGCAGCCTCGCACACACACACACAGACACACACACACAGACACACACACACACAGACAGAAACACACACACATGTTGTCGTCTGATTTCTTCATTACATTTTGCTTTATTGAGACTTTTCTATTGTGAGAAACAGAAAGTCAGGTCCCTGAGCTTTAAAGATCAGCAAATGTGAAGCTCCTTGAATTTGTCAGAGCAGGACTGGACGGTGCTCAAGTGGACCATACCATTCTATACCATATAATATCTTATAAAACAATACAAAACTGAAGTAGATGTGTTTTATTTCCATGTTTCCACGAGACCATGTGACGCGACCATGTGACGCGACCATGTGACGCGACCATGTGACATCACAGGTGAAGTATGACGCTGTTATTCTGGATTTTGTTCCAGTTCAGAAAGTGTGTCAGTCGTCTCCGTCTCCTGGAGGAACTGTGGGCTGGAAGTCTGCAACACACATGTGACATCACAATGACACACAGACACAACATGTGACATCACAATGACACACAGACACAACATGTGACATCACAATGACACACAGACACAACATGTGACATCACAATAACACACAGGCACAACATGTGTCATCACAATGACACACAGGCACAACATGTGACATCACAATGACACACAGGCACAACATGTGACATCACAATGACACACAGACACAACATGTGACATCACAATGACACACAGAGACAACATGTGACATCACAATGACACACAGGCACAACATGTGACATCACAATGACACACAGGCACAACATGTGACATCACAATGACACACAGGCACAACATGTGACATCACAATGACACACAGGCACAACATGTGACATCACAATGACACACAGACACAACATGTGACATCACAATGACACACAGACACAACATGTGACATCACAATGACACACAGGCACAACATGTGACATCACAATGACACACAGGCACAACATGTGACATCACAATGACACACAGACACAACATGTGACATCACAATGACACACAGGCACAACATGTGACATCACAATGACACACAGGCACAACATGTGACATCACAATGACACACAGGCACAACATGTGACATCACAATGACACACAGACACAACATGTGACATCACAATGACACACAGGCACAACATGTGACATCACAATGACACACAGGCACAACATGTGACATCACAATGACACACAGGCACAACATGTGACATCACAATGACACACAGGCACAACATGTGACATCACAATGACACACAGACACAACATGTGACATCACAATGACACACAGACACAACATGTGACATCACAATGACACACAGGCACAACATGTGACATCATAATGACACACAGGCACAACATGTGACATCACAATGACACACAGACACAACATGTGACATCACAATGACACACAGGCACAACATGTGACATCACAATGACACACAGACACAACATGTGACATCACAATGATACACAGGCACAACATGTGACATCACAATGACACACAGACACAACATGTGACATCACAATGACACACAGAGACAACATGTGACATCACAATGACACACAGACACAACATGTGACATCACAATGACACACAGGCACAACATGTGACATCACAATGACACACAGGCACAACATGTGACATCACAATGACACACAGACACAACATGTGACATCACAATGACACACAGGCACAACATGTGACATCACAATGACACACAGACACAACATGTGACATCACAATGACACACAGGCACAACATGTGACATCACAATGACACACAGGCACAACATGTGACATCACAATGACACACAGGCACAACATGTGACATCACAATGACACACAGACACAACATGTGACATCACAATGACACACAGACACAACATGTGACATCACAATGACACACAGGCACAACATGTGACATCACAATGACACACAGGCACAACATGTGACATCACAATGACACACAGACACAACATGTGACATCACAATGACACACAGGCACAACATGTGACATCACAATGACACACAGGCACAACATGTGACATCACAATGACACACAGGCACAACATGTGACATCACAATGACACACAGACACAACATGTGACATCACAATGACACACAGACACAACATGTGACATCACAATGACACACAGGCACAACATGTGACATCACAATGACACACAGGCACAACATGTGACATCACAATGACACACAGGCACAACATGTGACATCACAATGACACACAGACACAACATGTGACATCACAATGACATACAGGCACAACATGTGACATCACAATGACACACAGACACAACATGTGACATCACAATGACACACAGACACAACATGTGACATCACAATGACACACAGGCACAACATGTGACATCACAATGACACACAGGCACAACATGTGACATCACAATGACACACAGAGACAACATGTGACATCACAATGACACACAGGCACAACATGTGACATCACAATGACACACAGGCACAACATGTGACATCACAATGACACACAGGCACAACATGTGACATCACAATGACACACAGACACAACATGTGACATCACAATGACACACAGGCACAACATGTGACATCACAATGACACACAGACACAACATGTGACATCACAATGACACACAGACACAACATGTGACATCACAATGACACACAGAGACAACATGTGACATCACAATGACACACAGGCACAACATGTGACATCACAATGACACACAGAGACAACATGTGACATCACAATGACACACAGAGACAACATGTGACATCACAATGACACACAGACACAACATGTGACATCACAATGACACACAGGCACAACATGTGACATCACAATGACACACAGACACAACATGTGACATCACAATGACACACAGGCACAACATGTGACATCACAATGACACACAGAGACAACATGTGACATCACAATGACACACAGGCACAACATGTGACATCACAATGACACACAGACACAACATGTGACATCACAATGACACACAGACACAACATGTGACATTACAATGACACACAGGCACAACATGTGACATCACAATGACACACAGACACAACATGTGACATCACAATGGCACACAGACACAACATGTGACATCACAATGACACACAGACACAACATGTGACATCACAATGACACACAGACACAACATGTGACATCACAATGACACACAGACACAACATGTGACATTACAATGACACACAGGCACAACATGTGACATCACAATGACACACAGACACAACATGTGACATCACAATGGCACACAGACACAACATGTGACATCACAATGGCACACAGACACAACATGTGACATCACAATGACACACAGACACAACATGTGACATCACAATGACACACAGACACAACATGTGACATCACAATGACACACAGACACAACATGTGACATCACATTGATACACAGACACAACATGTGACATCACATTGATACACAGACACAACATGTGACATCACAATGACACACAGAGACAACACGTGACATCACAATGACACACAGACACAACATGTGACATCACAATGGCACACAGAGACAACATGTGACATCATAATGACACACAGACACAACATGTGACATCACAATGACACACAGACACAACATGTGACATCACAATGGCACACAGACACAACATGTGACATCACAATGACACAGAGACACAACATGTGACATCACAATGACAGGCGGCTCCGTCATGGTTCAGGTTTATTTACAATATGTTACTCCCCATGTCTTTAGTTGTACTTTCTCTCTCTCTCTGTCTCTCTTTGTCTCTCTCTGTCTCTCTCGTTCATCAGTTCTTACCTTTAATCACATATTCCTCTGGTTTGATGATCACATGACCTTCATAAATCACTTGGAAGGCGTCGTCATCAGTAAGAGCTGTAACGAGGGGAGAGGTCACTGCAGACAGAGGTCTCTCTCTCTGGTCTCTCTCTGGTCTCTCTCTCTGGTCTCTCTCTGGTCTCTCTCTCTGGTCTCTCTCTGGTCTCTCTCTCTGGTCTCTCTGGTCTCTCTCTGGTCTCTCTCTCTGGTCTCTCTGGTCTCTCTCTGGTCTCTCTCTCTGGTCTCTCTCTGGTCTCTCTCTCTGGTCTCTCTCTCTGGTCTCTCTCTGGTCTCTCTCTCTAGTCTCTCTCTGGTCTCTCTCTGGTCTCTCTCTCTAGTCTCTCTCTAGTCTCTCTCTGGTCTCTCTCTGGTCTCTCTCTGGTCTCTCTCTGGTCTCTCTTTCTGGTCTCTCTCTGGTCTCTCTCTGGTCTCTCTCTGGTCTCTCTCCGGTCTCTCTCTCTCTGGTCTCTCTCTGGTCTCTCTCTGGTCTCTCTCCGGTCTCTCTCTCTCTGGTCTCTCTCTGGTCTCTCTCTGGTCTCTCTCTGGTCTCTCTCTGGTCTCTCTCTGGTCTCTCTCCGGTCTCTCTCTCTCTGGTCTCTCTCTGGTCTCTCTCTGGTCTCTCTCCGGTCTCTCTCTGGTCTCTCTCTCTCTGGTCTCTCTCTGGTCTCTCTCTGGTCTCTCTCTCTAGTCTCTCTCTGGTCTCTCTCTCTGGTCTCTCTCTCTACTCTAGTCTCTCTCTAGTCTCTCTCTGGTCTCTCTCTGGTCTCTCTCTGGTCTCTCTCTGGTCTCTCTTTCTGGTCTCTCTCTGGTCTCTCTCTGGTCTCTCTCTCTGGTCTCTCTCTCTGGTCTATCTCTCTGGTCTCTCTCTCTGGTCTCTCTCTGGTCTCTCTCTCTGGTCTCTCTCTCTGGTCTCTCTCTCTGGTCTCTCTCTGGTCTCTCTCTGGTCTCTCTCTGGTCTCTCTCTCTGGTCTCTCTCTGGTCTCTCTGGTCTCTCTCTCTGGTCTCTCTCTCTGGTCTCTCTCTGGTCTCTCTCTGGTCTCTCTCTGGTCTCTCTCTCTGGTCTCTCTCTCTGGTCTCTCTCTCTGGTCTCTCTCTGGTCTCTCTCTGGTCTCTCTCTGGTCTCTCTCTCTGGTCTCTCTCTGGTCTCTATGGTCTCTCTCTCTGGTCTCTCTCTCTGGTCTCTCTCTGGTCTCTCTCTGGTCTCTCTCTGGTCTCTCTCTGGTCTCTCTCTGGTCTCTCTGGTCTCTCTCTCTGGTCTCTCTCTGGTCTCTCTCTGGTCTCTCTCTCTGGTCTCTCTGGTCTCTCTCTCTGGTCTCTCTCTGGTCTCTCTCTGGTCTCTCTCTCTGGTCTCTCTGGTCTCTCTCTGGTCTCTCTCTGGTCTCTCTCTGGTCTCTCTCTCTGGTCTCTCTGGTCTCTCTCTGGTCTTTCTCTGGTCTCTCTCTGTGTGTGGTTCGTCAGTGATTTAACTAAAATATAATATTTCTGTTTGTCCAACGAAAAAACTAATAATGGTTCAAATAAACCTGGGGATTATTTATTTTTACTTTTAAAATCTGATCTAAAGATGCGCAACGTGATTAAAACTCGCCACTAAAATCTAAAGTCGCATCTGATAAATACAATTATTAAAGGAGCAGTATGTAAAAATGTGGTCTAAAGTGGTACTGCAGCCTTTAATGATGACAGATTAGGGCACTTTAATAATGACAGATTAGGGCCCTTTAATGATGACAGATTAGGGACCTTTAATGATGACAGATTAGGGCCCTTTAATAATGTCAGATTAGGGACCTTTAATGAAGACAGATTAGGGACCTTTAATGATGACAGATTAGGGCCCTTTAATAATGTCAGATTAGGGACCTTTAATGAAGACAGATTAGGGACCTTTAATTATGACAGATTAGGGCCCTTTAATAATGACAGATTAGGGCCCTTTAATAATGACAGATTAGGGCCCTTTAATGATGACGGATTAGGGCCCTTTAATGATGACGGATTAGGGCCCTTTAATATTGACAGATTTGGGCCCTTTAATAATGACAGATTAGGGACCTTTAATGATGACAGATTAGGGCCCTTTAATAATGTCAGATTAGGGACCTTTAATGAAGACAGATTAGGGACCTTTAATGATGACAGATTAGGGCCCTTTAATAATGACAGATTAGGGCCCTTTAATAATGACAGATTAGGGCCCTTTAATGATGACGGATTAGGGCCCTTTAATGATGACGGATTAGGGCCCTTTAATATTGACAGATTTGGGCCCTTTAATGATGACAGATTTGGGCCCTTTAATGATGACAGATTAGGGCCCTTTAATATTGACAGATTTGGGCCCTTTAATGATGACAGATTAGGGCCCTTTAATGAGGACAGATTAGGGCCCTTTAATGAGGACAGATTAGGGCCCTTTAATGATGACGGATTAGGGCCCTTTAATGATGACGGATTAGGGCCCTTTAATGATGACGGATTAGGGCCCTTTAATAATGACAGATTTGGGCTCTTTAATTAGTCCTTATTCTACATTATTATTATTACTATTTATTATTATTATTATTAATGTTGTTATTGTTGCACCTGAACAGTGTCTGTGGCGCCTCCACAGGACGCTGATGTTACTGAAGATTTAAATATTTTGAGTTTTTAGTGAATAAAGAAAGTAAATAAAACCAATCTAACTCTGAGGTGGATCTGAGTTCACTGGAAACAAACACTGAAGAATTGTTCAAAGTGAACGAGGAATAAATAAATAAATCATAATAATAAGGATTTAATTAAAGGTGACAAACACTGACACCATAGTCACTGACACCAAAGTCACTGACACCAAAGTCACTGACACCAAAGTCACTGACACCAAAGTCACTGACACCAAAGTCACTGACACCATAGTCACTGACACCATAGTCACTGACACCATAGTCACTGACACCAAAGTCACTGACACCATAGTCACTGACACCAAAGTCACTGACACCAAAGTCACTGACACCAAAGTCACTGACACCAAAGTCACTGACACCAAAGTCACTGACACCATAGTCACTGACACAAAAGTCACTGACACCATAGTCACTGACACCATAGTCACTGACACCATAGTCACTGACACCAAAGTCACTGACACCAAAGTCACTGACACCAGAGTCACTGACACCATAGTCACTGACACCAAAGTCACTGACACCAAAGTCACTGACACCAAAGTCACTGACACCAAAGTCACTGACACCAAAGTCACTGACACCATAGTCACTGACACAAAAGTCACTGACACCATAGTCACTGACACCATAGTCACTGACACCATAGTCACTGACACCAAAGTCACTGACACCAAAGTCACTGACACCAAAGTCACTGACACCAAAGTCACTGACACCATAGTCACTGACACCAAAGTCACTGACACCAAAGTCACTGACACCAAAGTCACTGACACCATAGTCACTGACACCAAAGTCACTGACACCATAGTCACTGACACCATAGTCACTGACACCAAAGTCACTGACACCAAAGTCACTGACACCATAGTCACTGACACCATAGTCACTGACACCATAGTCACTGACACCATAGTCACTGACACCAAAGTCACTGACACCATAGTCACTGACACCATAGTCACTGACACCAAAGTCACTGACACCAAAGTCACTGACACCAAAGTCACTGACACCATAGTCACTGACACTATAGTCACTGACACCAAAGTCACTGACACCAAAGTCACTGACACCAAAGTCACTGACACCATAGTCACTGACACCATAGTCACTGACACCATAGTCACTGACACCATAGTCACTGACACCAAAGTCACTGACACACCATAGTCACTGACACCGTAGTCACTGACACCAAAGTCACTGACACCATAGTCACTGACACCAAAGTCACTGACACCATAGTCACTGACACTATAGTCACTGACACCAAAGTCACTGACACCAAAGTCACTGACACCAAAGTCACTGACACCATAGTCACTGACACCATAGTCACTGACACCAAAGTCACTGACACCAAAGTCACTGACACCAAAGTCACTGACACCATAGTCACTGACACCAGAGTCACTGACACCATAGTCACTGACACCAAAGTCACTGACACCATAGTCACTGACACCAAAGTCACTGACACCAAAGTCACTGACACCAAAGTCACTGACACCAAAGTCACTGACACCATAGTCACTGACACCAAAGTCACTGACACCAAAGTCACTGACATCAAAGTCACTGACACCATAGTCACTGACACCAAAGTCACTGACACCATAGTCACTGACACCATAGTCACTGACACCATAGTCACTGACACCATAGTCACTGACACCAAAGTCACTGACACCAAAGTCACTGACACCATAGTCACTGACACCAAAGTCACTGACACCATAGTCACTGACACCATAGTCACTGACACCATAGTCACTGACACCAAAGTCACTGACACCATAGTCACTGACACCATAGTCACTGACACCAAAGTCACTGACACCAAAGTCACTGACACCATAGTCACTGACACCAAAGTCACTGACACCAAAGTCACTGACACCATAGTCACTGACACTATAGTCACTGACACCAAAGTCACTGACACCAAAGTCACTGACACCAAAGTCACTGACACCATAGTCACTGACACCAAAGTCACTGACACCATAGTCACTGACACCATAGTCACTGACACCATAGTCACTGACACCAAAGTCACTGACACCATAGTCACTGACACCAAAGTCACTGACACCATAGTCACTGACACCATAGTCACTGACACCATAGTCACTGACACCAAAGTCACTGACACCATAGTCACTGACACCATAGTCACTGACACCAAAGTCACTGACACCATAGTCACTGACACCATAGTCACTGACACCATAGTCACTGACACCATAGTCACTGACACCAAAGTCACTGACACCATAGTCACTGACACCAAAGTCACTGACACCATAGTCACTGACACCAAAGTCACTGACACCATAGTCACTGACACCATAGTCACTGACACCATAGTCACTGACACCAAAGTCACTGACACCATAGTCACTGACACCAAAGTCACTGACACCAAAGTCACTGACACCAAAGTCACTGACACCATAGTCACTGACACCAAAGTCACTGACACCAAAGTCACTGACACCAAAATCACTGACATGTTTTAGTCACATTTATCCGTTTTTGTGTCTATAATAAGTTCCTAAATCTAGTTATTTGGCTCCTGTGATATTGTTTTAATATTTTAACAGTGACAAAGTAACAAACAGCTGATAAAGTGCTAATAAAGAGAGTATGTACGGTTAATTAGCACTTCATTGGTTTTTATCACTTATTAATCCTTATTCTGTATCTATTCACTGACACTGTCCCTGTGGGTTAGAGTTAAAGTTACTGTTAGCATTAGCATTAGCATTAGGGGACACTTTTAGCACTTCATCTAAAGTGTCAACAAAAACAATAATGAATAATTTTGTTTTACCCATTCCGTCCTCGTGCACCTGCTGGTCCATCGTCACGTCTGACACCAGGAGAGCAAGCAGGACCAGGACACAGGTCTGCCTCCACATGGTCCTCATCAGAGACACACAGCACTTTGAGAAACGCAGCACTCTGAGGAGCTGCAGGCGTATACAGTCTGAGACAGTCTTAGTCTTGGTCTTGGTCTTGGTCCCGGAGCAGAACCAGTCGGACCGGAGCCGCCAGTCGCGCAGAAATGTGAAGAATCTTTGGCTCGGATCCAAAGTGACGAAGAAGAAACAAAGAGATCAAAGAGACGTCAGAAAATAAACCTAATGATGTGAGAAACAACAGGGAAATGTCAGTGTTGCCTCGTCACAGAGCAGGGGAAGAGCAGCACGAGATCAATAACTCCACAGGGAGAGACCACATGGTATTGGACCATAGGGAGAGACCACATGGTATTGGACCATAGGGAGAGACCACATGGTATTGGACCATAGGGAGAGACCACATGGTATTGGACCACAGGGAGAGACCACATGGTATTGGACCATAGGGAGAGACCACATGGTATTGGACCATAGGGAGAGACCAGATGGTATTGGTCCATAGGGAGAGACCACATGGTATTGGTCCATAGGGAGAGACCACATGGTATTGGACCATAGGGAGAGACCACATGGTATTGGACCATAGGGAGAGACCACATGGTATTGGACCATAGGGAGAGACCACATGGTATTGGACCATAGGGAGAGACCACATGGTATTGGTCCATAGGGAGAGACCACATGGTATTGGACCATAGGGAGAGACCACATGGTATTGGACCATAGGGAGAGACCACATGGTATTGGTCCATAGGGAGAGACCACATGGTATTGGTCCATAGGGAGAGACCACATGGTATTGGACCATAGGGAGAGACCACATGGTATTGGTCCATAGGGAGAGACCAGATGGTATTGGACCATAGGGAGAGACCACATGGTATTGGTCCATAGGGAGAGACCACATGGTATTGGACCATAGGGAGAGACCACATGGTATTGGACCATAGGGAGAGACCACATGGTATTGGACCATAGGGAGTCCACCTCAGTCCTTCTTGTTAGACACTAACTGTCCAACAGACTCAGCATCAGAGGAAAAACTCTAAAACCCTTTGGGAGAAAAGTGAGAAACCTCAGATCCACAGAAAGGGAGGGATCCACAAGGACCGGCTGTAGATCCAGGAGTCAGACTGTAGAACGAGTAATGAGGCTGTAAAGAAAGACCAGAGAGAGACCAGAGAGAGACCAGAGAGAGAGACCAGAGAGAGGGACAAGAGAGAGACCAGAGAGAGAGACCAGAGAGAGAGACCAGAGAGAGAGACCAGAGAGAGAGACCAGAGAGAGACCAGAGAGAGAGACCAGAGAGAGAGACCAGAGAGAGACCAGAGAGAGAGACCAGAGAGAGAGACCAGAGAGAGACCAGAGAGAGAGACCAGAGAGAGAGACCAGAGAGAGACCAAAGAGAGACCAGAGAGAGAGACAAGAGAGAGACCAGAGAGAGAGACCAGAGAGAGGGACAAGAGAGAGACCAGAGAGAGACCAGAGAGAGACCTGAGAGAGACCAGAGAGAGACCAGAGAGAGACCAGAGAGAGACCAGAGAGACCAGAGAGAGACCAGAGAGAGAGACCAGAGAGAGACCAGAGAGAGACCAGAGAGAGAGACCAGAGAGAGAGACCAGAGAGAGAGACCAGAGAGAGGGACAAGAGAGAGACCAGAGAGAGACCAGAGAGAGAGACCAGAGAGAGACCTGAGAGAGACCAGAGAGAGACCAGAGAGAGACCAGAGAGAGAGACCAGAGAGAGACCAGAGAGAGAGACCAGAGAGAGAGACCAGAGAGAGAGACAAGAGAGAGACAAGAGAGAGACCAGAGAGAGACCAGAGAGAGACCAGAGAGAGAGACCAGAGAGAGAGACCAGAGAGAGACCAGAGAGAGAGACCAGAGAGAGAGACCAGAGAGAGACCAAAGAGAGACCAGAGAGAGAGACAAGAGAGAGACCAGAGAGAGAGACCAGAGAGAGGGACAAGAGAGAGACCAGAGAGACCAGAGAGAGACCTGAGAGAGACCAGAGAGAGACCAGAGAGAGACCAGAGAGAGACCAGAGAGAGAGACCAGAGAGAGAGACCAGAGAGAGACCAGAGAGAGACCAGAGAGAGAGACCAGAGAGAGACCAGAGAGAGAGACCAGAGAGAGAGAGAGACCAGAGAGAGACCAGAGAGAGACCAGAGAGAGACCAGAGAGAGAGACAAGAGAGAGACCAGAGAGAGACCAGAGAGAGACCAGAGAGACCAGAGAGAGACAGAGAGAGAGACCAGAGAGAGACCAGAGAGAGACCAGAGAGAGACCAGAGAGAGAGACCAGAGAGAGAGACCAGAGAGAGACCAGAGAGAGACCAGAGAGAGACCAGAGAGAGACCAGAGAGAGAGACCAGAGAGAGACCAGAGAGAGACCAGAGAGAGACCAGAGAGTGTCTCTCCCTCTGTTTGCAGATTATTTCACAGTTTTCACTCTGACAGAGTCACTTTTCTCCACATAGTGTCTCAGAGGTAAAGAACTTTATTCTGGAACATGAACATTGAACAAACTCAGTGTAAAGAACTCACTGTGACAAACACAGGGACAATTATCACAGGTACAGTGTGTAATGACACATCCATCATTAGAGTAATTAACGCTGAAAATAGAACGTTCACATAGTTTCAGAGGGTGAGACTGAGAGCTCTCCATACACCAGGCACAAACACACTGAGCACAGGGACTGGCCTCCTGCTGGGACTGAGGAGCACAGGGACTGGCCTCCTGCTGGGACTGAGGTGCACAGGGACTGGCCTCCTGCTGGGACTGAGGAGCACAGGGACTGGCCTCCTGCTGGGACTCTGAGGAGCACAGGGACTGGACTCCTGCTGGGACTCTGAGGAGCACAGGGACTGGACTCCTGCTGGGACTCTGAGGAGCACAGGGACTGGCCTCCTGCTGGGACTCTGAGGAGCACAGGGACTGGACTCCTGCTGGGACTCTGAGGAGCACAGGGACTGGTCTCCTGCTGGGACTCTGAGGAGCACAGGGACTGGCCTCCTGCTGGGACTCTGAGGAGCACAGGGACTGGCCTCCTGCTGGGACTCTGAGGAGCACAGGGACTGGCCTCCTGCTGGGACTCTGAGGAGCACAGGGACTGGCCTCCTGCTGGGACTCTGAGGAGCACAGGGACTGGCCTCCTGCTGGGACTCTGAGGAGCACAGGGACTGGCCTCCTGCTTGGACTCTGAGGAGCACAGGGACTGGCCTCCTGCTGGTCCCAGAGTCAGGACTAAACATGCTAAATGATATAATCTGGAACAATCTTCCTGAAAATGTGAGACATTTTGAACAGACAGGATTTTATCTTTACCTTTATCTGTGATTATTTATGATTTAATGTTGTTTCTGTCTGGTTTTGTTCATCACTTTAAGTTTCCTTGTGTATGAAATGTGCTATTCAAACAAACTTGCTTTACTTTTGAAATGTCAAAGATTCATTCCACAAAAACAGTCAAGAATCATGATCTTTGTGATAAAAACAGATTCTTACACTCGTGTCAGCGGTGGATTTATTGGCGCCAAACAATAAAAAATCATTAATAATAATAATAATAATATGTTACACATGAGTCCGGACAGCGGCGCATCGTCCCGGGGCAGGTATTAGAGGCACATATTCAAGGACACAAACAGAAACACCAAAAGGACTACAAACATGGCCGCCGTGACGAGAGATGCTTAGATTCTACAGGTCTAGTGTCTCCATGGAAACCCCCAATGAAAGGTCTCCCTCCTATGCACAAACACTGATCATCACAGTTAAAGGGAAAGCTGCTGGTGTCGGACATTTTGGTCGTTTATCGCACAACACGTCGCACACAACACACAAAAAGTGGAATATTTAGAAGAATTTGGTTAGTTTTGGTGATGTGTAAAGTCCATGCGCCGTGGACTGACATGTGAGTGATACTACAGTGCATTTGACCCGTCCTGTAACACGGCGGGCCTCTGTCATGGGTTGTATGTATGCTAATGCTAACGTGCTAGCTCTATGAAGACACACGGGGAAGTGCTCGTCTGGCTCCTACTGACTTCTATCGAGCTCAGTAACGTTTGTGTGACATCACCATTTTGGATTTAAAACCGCTGGTGTTTATTTCTCTCGGTGAAGCTGTTTTTTGTAAACTTGGATATGAACCATTTAAGGTTGTCATAGCAACACGTCAGTCCATCAGATTCAAGGAGAGAAGTAGGCCTCAGTCTGTTTACTACAAAAAGTGGTGAAAAATAAGTAAAAAAAGGCTACAAAGTAGAGTAGAGTAGAGTAGAGTAGAGTAGAGTAGAGTAGGGTAGAGTAGGGTAGGGTAGGGTAGGGTAGAATAGGGTAGAGTAGAGTAGAGTAGAGTAGAGTAGAGTAGAGTAGGGTAGAGTCGGGTAGAGTAGGGTAGGGTAGGATAGGGTAGGGTAGAGTAGGGTAGAGTAGGGTAGAGTAGAGTAGAGTAGAGTAGAGTAGAGTAAAGTAGAGTAGAGTAGAACAAAGTAGAGTAGGGTAGAGTAGGGTAGAGTAGGGTAGAGTAGAGTAGAGTAGAGTAGAGTAGAGTAGAGTAGAGTAGAGTAGAGTAGGGTAGGGTAGAGTAGAGTAAAGTAGAGTAGAGTAGAACAAAGTAGAGTAGGGTAGAGGAGGGTAGAGTAGAGTAGAGTAGAGTAGAGTAAAGTAGAGTAGAGTAGAACAAAGTAGAGTAGGGTAGAGTAGGGTAGAGTAGGGTAGAGTAGGGTAGAGTAGGGTAGAGTAGAGTAGAGTAGAGTAGGGTAGGGTAGAGTAGGGTAGAGTAGAGTAGAGTAGAACCATGTTCATTCAGAAAGCCTTGAACTAAACTCCTGTACCTTTGCTAACCTGCAGAGTTTAGCCACTAGCGCCACCTGCTGCTATTATTGGTTGAACGCGGGCAGTGAAGAATCAAAGATAGATTTAAGTGAAAGAGTGAGGAGCAGTGTTCAGAGTCTGCAGAGCTGCTGATTGGCTGCTTTTATCTCTCTACAGAGTTTATTTATAGTCAGTGTTTGCTACGATTCTCAAACTGTACAACACACAACTCTTCTACTCCACAGCATCATACACCGACACACGTGACGCACAACTAAACCTACAACAGTGAGACAGTCACGACCCAGACTGTTTCCTCCTCTTTAAAGGAGACGTATGATGCTATCATCTGGTACCGGTCTGTGTGGAAATAAAGAGACTCTTTGGACAGTTTCACATTCTCAAAACCTACCTTTTCAAACTGGCTTATTCTTTGTCATTTCATAATGTTTTAATCTGTACTTATAATTCTTTAGATCCATGTTTGAGAACTGAATAACTTAAAGGTTCCATATTCAGCTTTTCTTCCATATTCACAGTCCGTTCTAAACACATCCATACAACACGCAACACAAAAACACCTTTTCTCACATGATGCAACACAAACAGCAGAGTCTGCAGGAGCTGACCAGGCGGATCTTTACAGTCCATGGACCAGGCGCTCTGAGGCTGCACTGATTCGCTGTTTCAGTTTCTCCCTGCTGTCAATCACCTCCTCGAGGCGGGCTCTCTGTCAATCACCTTCTGGAGGCGGGCTCTCTGTCAATCACCTTCTGGAGGCGGGCTCTCTGTCAATCACCTTCTGGAGGCGGGCTCTCTGTCAATCACCTTCTGGAGGCGGGCTCTCTGTCAATCACCTTCTGGAGGCGGGCTCTCTGTCAATCACCTTCTGGAGGCGGGCTCTCTGTCAATCACCTTCTGGAGGCGGGCTCTCTGTCAACACCTTCTGGAGGCGGGCTCTCTGTCAATCACCTTCTGGAGGCGGGCTCTCTGTCAATCACCTCCTGGAGGCGGGCTCTCTGTCAATCACCTCCTGGAGGCGGGGCTTCTGACGTCACGGTTTGACTCGAGTAGTTTTGCTGCCTTCAGAGAATGACAAAGAAAGATGGCGCTCTGAATAAAGCTTGAGGGAACCAATGATGAAACTGTTCTGGACAAACAGGTCTGTTCTGATGTTTAAAAGAGGAAAGTCTAAACCGTGACATGGGACCTTTAGAGAACACCTACAATGCACTGTTTCTGCTCACTCTGGCTCTTGAACTTAACTTTTAGACTATTGACTTTGGCTCTCACATGGATGAAACAGCTTAACCTTAGAATTTAAAAACAATAATTGAGAGTCTCTGGGGCCACACGGTTTGGTCTGGATACCATTCTAAAAGGTGGAAAAGTAAACACGCCAAAGCTAATGTTTAAATGAATGAATAATCGTCGCGTCACACTCTCTGCAAAACAGATCAAATATGAGGAAATAAAAACTCAAATCCAGTGTTTTTATCTTAATCTGACACATTCTGTTAAAACCAGATTCTCCGATTTAAAAAACTGTTTATTTCCTCATTCCAAGGGAGACATTTCTGTATCTTTTCAAAACAAGATCATTTTTCTTTGTCCTGTTTGAGAATCTAGTTTTAAATCAGAATGTCTCAGATATTAGGGCGACAGTAGCTCAGTTGGTAGAGCATTGGCCTTCGGGCCTGAAGGTCGTGGGTTCGAGCCCACCGTAAGACCTACTTCACGACTCCCACTGATGACTGCTGTTGTTGTGTCCTTGGGCAAGACACTTAACCCCACTTTGCCTGAAGCCCCCACTGAAAGATCTCAGCTCCTGTGGACTCAGCACCTGCAGGAGGATCAGTGAGGGGCTGGTGCTCTGACTGCCAACCCCCGACCCAGAAATGGATTAAGGGGAAGAAAATGGATGGATGGATGTCTCAGATTAAGACACATTTTTACCAATTGTTGACTTCTTCCTGACCAGTTTTCCCAGTGCTTCTTACGGCGGTCAGACATGGACATTTATTTATTGCCGTATTACTCAGGCATAAGTCAAACACAGGAGAACACATCACCCCTGGCTTTAGAAGTTCTAATACAGATAAACTCAGATCGAAGCTTTGGTTCAGTCCATTTTCCACGGCTTCAAAGTCACTACCGCGTTAGTCCCGCCTCCGCCAGCCCGCCCGCCTCCTCTCTGGCCTCTGATTGGTGCTTGAAGAGCTCGCACGGCGTGAGGGGGAGTGGTCGGCTTGAGTCCAGGAGTGCAGCCTCGTACGGGGGGGCCTCCTCTGTGGGTGGGTAGGAGATGGAGGAGTAGTAGTGGGGCGCGCAGGAGAACCAGGAGGAGGTGGCAGTAGGTGGGAGGTCCATACTGCTGCTGTGGTGTGGCTCCTCCCCCTGCCCCGCCTCTCCTGCAAATGGGTCCAATAGGGAGTAGGGGGGCGGGTCCTCAGTGGGGAGGTGCATGTCGGAGGAGGAGGTGCCCATGCACTCGTCGTACCTGCAGGAGAAAGGAGTCAGTGAAAAGGACCAGAAGCTTCTTTGTTTTAGGGTCACTTCCTGTTTTGTTTTGTCGACTCCTGTAACTTTGTGTGTGTGTACTGTGTGTATGTGTGTGTATGTGTTTGTGTGTGTGAATGTGTTTGTGTGCGTATGTGAACGTGTGCATGTAGTGTGTGTGTGTGTGTGTGTGTGTGTGTGTGTGTGTGTGCAGACATAGGAAGTCTTCCATCTCTGTAAATGGATCAGACTCAGGTTTAACAGAATCACAGCAGACGCTGAGGGCGACAGACGACTACATCCAAGACAAGAGAGAGAGACCAGAGAAAAGAGAGACCAGAGAGAGACCAGAGAGAGACCAGAGAGAGAGACCAGAGAGAGACCAGAGAGAGACCAGAGAAGAGACCAGAGAGAGAGACCAGAGAGAGACCAAGAGAGAGAGAGACCAGAGAGAGACCAGAGAGAGAGACCAGAGAGAGAGACCAGAGAGAGACCAGAGAGAGAGACCAGAGAGAGAGACCAGAGAGAGAGAGAGAGAGAGACCAAGAGAGAAGAGAGACCAGAGAGAGACCAGAGAGAGAGACCAGAGAGAGAGACCAAGAGAGAGAGAGACCAGAGAGAGAGACCAGAGAGAGACCAAGAGAGACCAGAGAGAGACCAGAGCAGAGAGAGAGAGACCAGAGAGAGAGACCAGAGAGAGACCCAGAGAGAGAGACCAGAAGGACAGAGAGAGACCAGAGAGAGAGAGAGAGACCAGAGAGAGACCAGAGAGAGACCAGAGAGAGAGACCAGAGAGAGACCAGAGAGAGAGACCAGAGAGAGACCAGAGAGAGAGACCAGAGAGAGACCAGAGAGAGACCAGAGAGACCAGAGAGAGACCAGAGAGAGACCAGAGAGAGACCAGAGAGAGACCAGAGAGAGACCGAGAGAGAGACCAGAGAGAGAGACCAGAGAGAGACCAGAGAGAGACCGGAGAGAGACCAGAGAGAGACCAGAGAGAGACCGAGAGAGACCAGAGAGAGACCCGAGAGAGACCAGAGAGAGAGACCAGAGACAGAGACCAGAGAGAGAGACCAGAGAGAGAGACCTAGAGAGAGAGACCAGAGAGAGACCAGAGAGAGACCGGAGAGAGACCAGAGAGAGACCAGAGAGAGACCAGAGAGAGACCAGAGAGAGACCAGAGAGAGAGACCAGAGAGAGACCAGAGAGAGACCAGAGAGAGAGAGACCAGAGAGAGACCGGAGAGAGACCAGAGAGAGACCAGAGAGAGACCATAGAGAGAAAGTGTGTGTGTGTCCGCTCTGTAGGGGAGAGATGTGTGAATTATTTAAGGTACCAATTATAGCTGCTGACATTTGGATCAAAACACCATGACACTGACCTTTCCCCCTCTCTCTGGTCTCTCTCTGGTCTCTCTCTGGTCTCTCTCTGGTCTCTCTCTGGTCTCTCTCTCTGGTCTCTCTCTCTAGGTCTCTCTCTCTGGTCTCGCTCTCTGGTCTCTCTCTGGTCTCTCTCTCTGGTCTCTCTCTCTAGGTCTCTCTCTCTGGTCTCTCTCTGGTCTCTCTCTAGGTCTCTCTCTCTGGTCTCGCTCTCTGGTCTCTCTCTCTAGGTCTCTCTCTCTGGTCTCTCTCTGGTCTCTCTCTCTCTGGTCTCTCTCTCTGGTCTCTCTCTCTGGTCTCTCTCTGCTCTCTCTCTGGTCTCTCTCTCTGGTCTCTCTCTGGTCTCTCTCTGGTCTCTCTCTGGTCTCTCTCTGGTCTCTCTCTGGTCTCTCTCTCTGGTCTCTCTCTCTGGTCTCTCTCTCTGGTCTCTCTCTCTAGGTCTCTCTCTCTGGTCTCGCTCTCTGGTCTCTCTCTGGTCTCTCTCTCTGGTCTCTCTCTCTAGGTCTCTCTCTCTGGTCTCTCTCTGGTCTCTCTCTCTGGTCTCTCTCTCTGGTCTCTCTCTCTGGTCTCTCTCTCTGGGTCTCTCTCTCTGGTCTCTCTCTGGTCTCTCTCTGGTCTCTCTCTGGTCTCTCTCTCTGGTCTCTCTCTGGTCTCTCTCTGGTCTCTCTCTCTGGTCTCTCTCTCTGGTCTCTCTCTGGTCTCTCTCTAGGTCTCTCTCTCTGGTCTCGCTCTCTGGTCTCTCTCTGGTCTCTCTCTAGGTCTCTCTCTCTGGTCTCTCTCTCTGGTCTCTCTCTCTGGTCTCTCTCTCTGGTCTCTCTCTGGTCTCTCTCTGGTCTCTCTCTGGTCTCTCTCTCTGGTCTCTCTCTGGTCTCTCTCTGGTCTCTCTCTGGTCTCTCTCTGGTCTCTCTCTGGTCTCTCTCTGGTCTCTCTCTCTGGTCTCTCTCTCTGGTCTCTCTCTCTGGTCTCTCTCTCTGGTCTCTCTCTCTGGTCTCTCTCTGGTCTCTCTCTGGTCTCTCTCTGGTCTCTCTCTGGTCTCTCTCTTGTCTCTCTCTCTGGCTCTCTCTCTGGTTCTCTCTCTGGGTCTCTCTGGTCTCTCTCTGGTCTCTCTCTCTGGTCTCTCTCTCTGGTCTCTCTCTCTGGTCTCTCTCTCTGGTCTCTCTCTCTGGTCTCTCTCTCTGGTCTCTCTCTGGTCTCTCTCTGGTCTCTCTCTGGTCTCTCTCTGGTCTCTCTCTGGTCTCTCTCTGGTCTCTCTCTCTGGTCTCTCTCTCTGGTCTCTCTCTCTGGTCTCTCTCTGGTCTCTCTCTGGTCTCTCTCTGGTCTCTCTCTCTGGTCTCTCTCTCTGGTCTCTCTCTCTGGTCTCTCTCTGGTCTCTCTCTCTGGTCTCTGTCTCTGGTCTCTCTCTCTGGTCTCTCTCTGGTCTCTCTCTAGTCTCTCTCTAGGTCTCTCTCTCTGGTCTCTCTCTGGTCTCTCTCTCTGGTCTCTCTCTCTGGTCTCTCTCTCTGGTCTCTCTCTGGTCTCTCTCTCTGGTCTCTGTCTCTGGTCTCTCTCTCTAGTCTCTCTCTGGTCTCTCTCTGGTCTCTCTCTCTAGGTCTCTCTCTCTGGTCTCTCTCTGGTCTCTCTCTCTGGTCTCTCTCTGGTCTCTCTCTGGTCTCTCTCTGGTCTCTCTCTAGGTCTCTCTCTCTGGTCTCTCTCTGGTCTCTCTCTGGTCTCTCTCTGGTCTCTCTCTCTGGTCTCTCTCTCTGGTCTCTCTCTCTGGTCTCTCTCTCTGGTCTCTCTCTCTGGTCTCTCTCTCTGGTCTCTCTCTCTGGTCTCTCTCTCTGGTCTCTCTCTCTGGTCTCTCTCTCTGGTCTCTCTCTCTGGTCTCTCTCTCTGGTCTCTCTCTCTGGTCTCTCTCTCTGGTCTCTCTCTCTGGTCTCTCTCTCTGGTCTCTCCTTAGTAATCACTTTAGCAACACATCTTATCAACCACCTTAACAACCGCCTTAGCAACCACTTTAAAGGGCCCATATGACGGTTTTTGACTTTTCTCTGCTTTAAACATGATTACAGCTATTTGGCCTCATACACAAGCCCACAGTAGTTTATTCATTGATTCTGTCAATCTTTTGTAAGAGAACAATCTGTGTCCTTCCCCAGCGTGAGGCACAGAAACGCTCGGGTCCACTTCAGTGACGAAAACCACACTGATGACGCGCATGACCCCGTTTGCTTTGTATTTAAAATAGTTGTTAAATACTTTTGTCAAAACGCTGTAAACAATACACAATTAGTATGCTGTTTTTTGTCAAAAATATTAAAAATAAAAATAAATTAAAAGCCGGCGGGAGGTGATTGACGGATCAAAACAGCGAATCAGAGCGCACAGGCTCCCGAGTCCAGCGTCTGTGGTCTGGTCTCGCGGACACCACATAGAGCTGCTGTTTTTATGCTTTTGTCAGAAACTAAAAGTGTTAGGATCACGTCAACTTGAATGAAGTGTGTTATGGGTGTAAATATGTGACGCACTATTTGGCCCTAAGAGGAAGAAAGCGGCTCGACTTTTTTCATCTGTTCATCTCATGGATCTATTATAAACCGGTTCATCTGCGACACTTCACTGAGACTGTTCCAGAACTACAGGGACAATGGAACTGGACTTACTCAAAGGCTGATCTGGAAACACGTTATTCCCACGGTAAAAGACGTAACTCGGACCCCCTCCATCTGTAAGTAGTGACGCTAACTCGCTGTATACTTCTGTAAACTAAATAACTAGGCTCTGATTGTGCATCGAGGACATAGGGCTCGATGTGACGGATTGTCATTGTTGGAAAAAGCTTATTCTTATGTATGAAACTACTAAGTACAGGTGATAAACGACAAAAGCGTGATGCTACGTCACCGTGCGGGCGGGGGGCTCACAGGCAGAGGAGCAGACTCTGGATCAGCTCGTTTGAGTCGAGGTGACGTCACCTCTATACAAGAGATGGCTCTAATCTCACAAGCTTTGATTGTTGTGTGGTGTATAATACACATTAATATCACACATGTGCAGAGGACTGAGTGTGAAACATGAAGAAAAGCCTGATATAGGACCTTTAACAACAGCCTTAGCAACACGTCTTAGCAACCGCCTTAGCAACACGCCTTAGCAACCGTCTTAGCAAGAAGTCATAGCAACCGACTTAGCATCTGCCTTCGCAAAACAAACTTAGCAACAGCCTTAGCAACCACCTTAACAACCGCCTTAGCCACACGTCTTAGCAACCTCATTAACAACACGTCTTAGCAACAACCTTAGCAACTGCTTTAGCAACACGTCTAGCAATTGCCTAAGCAACTTCCTTAGCAACACATCTTGGCAACCGCAAATGGCAAATGGCAAATAAATGAATCTGAGGGGAAGGGTTCACACATCTTGGCAACCCCTTTAGCAACACGTCTTAACAACAACCTTAGCAACAGGCCTTTAGCAACCTCCTTAGCAACTGCTTTAACAACCGCCTTAACAACAGCCTTAGCAACATGTCATAGCAACCGTCTTAGCAACACGCCTTAGCAACCGTCTTAGCAACACGCCATAACAACCGCCTTAGCAACAACCTTAGAAACTTCCTTAGCAATCACCTTAACAACTGCCTTAGCAACACGTCTGTACGTGTGACGGCCTCTGCACCTCAGTGTCTAATGATCGTAAGAAACTAAACTAAACTGTCTCCACACAGAGGTCAGAGGTCAGGGTTCTGCAGGAGGTCAGGGCTCTGCAGGTCAGAGGTCAGGATTCTGCAGGAGGTCAGAGGTCAGGGCTCTGCAGGAGGTCAGAGGTCAGGGCTCTACAGCAGGTCAGAGGTCAGGGTTCTGCAGGAGGTCGGAGGTCAGGGCTCTGCAGGAGGCCAGAGGTCAGGGTTCTGCAGGAGGTCGGAGGTCAGGGCTCTGCAGGAGGTCAGAGGTCAGGGCTCTGCAGGAGGTCAGAGGTCAGGGTTCTGCAGGAGGTCAGAGGTCAGGGCTCTGCAGGAGGTCAGAGGTCAGGGCTCTGCAGGAGGTCAGAGGTCAGGGTTCTGCAGGAGGTCAGAGGTCAGGGTTCTGCAGGAGGTCAGAGGTCAGGGCTCTGCAGGAGGTCAGAGGTCAGGGTTCTGCAGGAGGTCAGAGGTCAGGGCTCTGCAAGAGGTCAGAGGTTAGGGCTCTACAGCAGGTCAGAGGTCAGGGTTCTGCAGGAGGCCAGAGGTCAGGGTTCTGCAGGAGGTCGGAGGTCAGGGCTCTGCAGGAGGTCAGAGGTCAGGGTTCTGCAGGAGGTCAGAGGTCAGGGTTCTGCAGGAGGTCAGAGGTCAGGGCTCTGCAGGAGGTCAGAGGTCAGGGTTCTGCAGGAGGTCAGAGGTCAGGGTTCTGCAGGAGGTCAGAGGTCAGGGCTCTGCAAGAGGTCAGGGTTCTGCAGGAGGTCAGAGGTCAGGGTTCTGCAGGAGGTCAGAGGTCAGGGTTCTGCAGGAGGTCAGAGGTCAGGGCTCTGCAGGAGGTCAGAGGTCAGGGTTCTGCAGGAGGTCAGAGGTCAGGGCTCTGCAGGAGGTCAGCAGAGGTCAGGGTTCTGCAGGAGGTCAGAGGTCAGGGTTCTGCAGGAGGTCAGAGGTCAGGGCTCTGCAGGAGGTCAGAGGTCAGGGTTCTGCAGGAGGTCAGAGGTCAGGGCTCTGTAGGAGGTCAGAGGTCAGGGTTCTGTAGGAGGTCAGAGGTCAGGGCTCTGCAGGAGGTCAGAGGTCAGGGTTCTGCAGGAGGTCAGAGGTCAGGGCTCTGCAAGAGGTCAGGGTTCTGCAGGAGGTCAGAGGTCAGGGTTCTGCAGGAGGTCAGAGGTCAGGGCTCTGCAAGAGGTCAGAGGTGAGGGCTCTGCAAGAGGTCAGAGGTCAGGGTTCTGCAGGAGGTCAGAGGTCAGGGTTCTGCAGGAGGTCAGAGGTCAGGATTCTGCAGGAGGTCAGAGGTCAGGGCTCTGCAGGAGGTCAGAGGTCAGGGTTCTGCAGGAGGTCAGAGGTCAGGGCTCTGCAAGAGGTCAGAGGTCAGGGTTCTGCAGGAGGTCAGAGGTCAGGGCTCTGCAGGAGGTCAGAGGTCAGGGTTCTGCAGGAGGTCAGAGGTCAGGGCTCTGCAGGAGGTCAGAGGTCAGGGCTCTGTTGGGGGCTGTGGTGCTTCTTACCGCGGGGGTGAGTCCGGGTACAGACCGCTCTGCTCCAGGTTCTCTCCGTACGAGTCCAGACCAGAGGGAAACTCCTCCAAACAGGACCTCAGCTCTCCCACTGAGCCGTGAGAGAAACCCTCCTGTCCTGGAGAGAGAGACCCTCACTCTCACAAGCAACAACTGCTACATGATTATATCTACTCATGATAACCTCCTCTCCCTCTTTTCTCCTCCTTCCCTCCTCCCTTCTCCACCTCCTCTCCCTCTTTTCTCCTCCTTCCCTCCTCCCTTCTCCACCTCCTCCTTCCCCCTTCTCCTCCTCCTCTCTTCTCCACCTCCTCCTTCCCCCTTCTCCTCCTCCTCCCTTCTCCACCTCCTCCTTCCCCCTTCTCCTCCTCCTCCCTTCTCCACCTCCTCCTTCCCCCTTCTCCTCCTCCTCCCTTCGCCACCTCCTCTCCCTCTTTTCTCCTCCTCCTCCCTTGTCCACCTCCTCCTCCCTTCTCCTCCTTCCCCCTTTTTCCTCCTCCGCCCTTCTCCGCCTCTTCCTCCCCTCTCCTCCTCCTCACCGTAGGAGGCGCGCAGGTGGAGGTGGCTGCTCTTGCGGAAGCTGCCGATGATGATGGTGATGCAGGAGAGGAAGAGCACGAGGCCGATGACGATCCCGGCCACCACCAGAGGAGACACCAGCAGAGAGGCCTCCCCCGCCGCCTCCCGCTCCCTGCGGCATTCTGGGTAATCGCCAAGGCTCTGGTTGGAGCTCGCTGCTGACCACAAGCACAAGCCTCTTCAAACGTCAGTGTTGGAAACAATCGGTTCTGTTTTTAATTATCTGTTTAACTTTTTCTACTCTGGTCATTTACATCTGAGATTCATACCTGCAAGGCTCGTGCTGGGTCTACAGCCTCAGTCCTGGGTCTGCAACCTCAGTCCTGGGTCTACAGCCTCAGTCCTGGCTCTACAGCCTCAGTCCTGGGTCTGCAACCTCAGTCCTGGGTCTACAGCCTCAGTCCTGGGTCTGCAGCCTCAGTCCTGGGTCTACAGCCTCAGTCCTGGGTCTGCAACCTCAGTCCTGGGTCTGCAACCTCAGTCCTGGGTCTACAGCCTCAGTCCTGGGTCTGCAGCCTCAGTCCTGGGTCTACAGCCTCAGTCCTGGGTCTGCAACCTCAGTCCTGGGTCTACAGCCTCAGTCCTGGATCTACAGCCTCAGTCCTGGGTCTACAGCCTCAGTCCTGGGTCTACAGCCTCAGTCCTGGATCTACAGCCTCAGTCCTGGATCTACAGCCTCAGTCCTGGCTCTACAGCCTCAGTCCTGGATCTACAGCCTCAGTCCTGGCTCTACAGCCTCAGTCCTGGCTCTACAGCCTCAGTCCTGGCTCTACAGCCTCAGTCCTGGCTCTACAGCATCAGTCCTGGCTCTACAGCCTCAGTCCTGGCTCTACAGCCTCAGTCCTGGCTCTACAGCCTCAGTCCTGGCTCTACAGCCTCAGTCCTGGCTCTACAGCCTCAGTCCTGGCTCTACAGCCTCAGTCCTGGCTCTACAGCCTCAGTCCTGGCTCTACAGCCTCAGTCCTGGCTCTACAGCCTCAGTCCTGGCTCTACAGCCTCAGTCCTGGCTCTACAGCCTCAGTCCTGGGTCTGCAACCTCAGTCCTGGGTCTACAGCCTCAGTCCTGGCTCTACAGCCTCAGTCCTGGATCTATAGCATCTGTGCATGCGTTAGCTGCACGAGCCTTGACGAGTGCATTCAAAAGTTCACAGCGACTAAACTAGACTGGTCCAAACAAATACACTCCTCTCAACATCGACACACGTGGAACGTAGCTTTGGACCAAGACCCACTTTTGGACCAAGACCCACTTTTGGACCAAGACCCACTTTTGGACCATCCTGTAAAGATGTTTTCCAGAGGGAAGAAGATACGTACATTAGCATTGAATGATTCTTAGTCCGGGTAGACCCCCACTGGCCCGGGGTGGTATTGCATCATGTCAACGCACCTCATTTTTGAGCTGAGACCCGCCCCCACTGGGTTCAGCAGGTCTTTCCTTCCTTCTACTGTCAGACTGTACAACGAGCAACGAAGACTGACGAACACTGCTGACTTGAGCTCACATAATCTGAATCGTCTCTGTGTCCCAGAGCCTCGTGCTGCTAACATGCTAACATGCTACTGTATACTTCCTAAATACTGTAGTTATTCATTTATCTGACATTTCACTGAGAGAATCTTCATCATAATCTTCATCTTAAAGTAACCCCGTCTTCATCATGATCTTCGTCACGGCCCATGACCTTGACACAGGTTTTGACCCGTCACAGCTCGGTGCTGTTGCTGTGGGCTCTGACCCTCCGCCCTCTAGCACTTCACATGTTCTGAGACCTAAATGATTCTGACGTCTACAGCCGACACACAACTCCTATAGACATGTGTGTCTGTGTGTGTGTGTGTGTGTCTGTGTGTGTGTGTCTGTGTGTGTGTCTGTGTGTCTGTGTGTGTGTGTGTGTCTGTGTGTGTCTCTGTGTGTGTGTGTGTGTCTGTGTGTGTGTGTGTCTGTGTGTGTGTGTGTGTGTGTGTGTGTGTCTGTGTGTGTGTCTGTGTGTGTGTGTGTCTCTGTGTGTGTGTGTGTCTCTGTGTGTGTGTGTCTGTGTGTGTGTGTCTGTCTGTGTGTGTGTGTGTGTGTGTGTGTGTGTGTGTCTGTCTGTGTGTGTGTGTCTCTGTGTGTGTGTGTGTGTGTGTCTCTGTGTGTGTGTGTGTCTGTGTGTGTCTCTGTGTGTGTGTGTGTGTGTGTGTGTGTGTGTGTGTGTGTGTGTGTGTGTGTGTGTGTGTGTGTGTGTGTGTGTGTGTCTCTCTGTGTGTGTCTGTCTGTGTCTGTGTGTGTGTGTGTCTGTGTCTGTGTGTGTGTGTGTCTGTCTGTGTGTGTGTGTCTCTGTGTGTGTGTGTGTGTGTGTGTGTGTGTGTGTGTGTGTGTGTGTCTGTGTGTGTGTGTGTGTGTGTGTCTGTGTGTGTGTGTGTGTCTGTGTGTGTGTGTCTCTCTGTGTGTGTGTGTCTGTGTGTGTGTGTGTCTGTCTGTGTCTGTGTGTGTGTGTGTGTGTGTGTGTGTGTGTGTCTGTCTGTGGGTGTGTGTCTCTGTGTGTGTGTGTGTGTGTCTCTGTGTGTGTGTGTGTCTGTGTGTGTCTCTGTGTCTGTGTGTGTGTCTCTCTGTGTGTGTGTGTGTCTGTCTGTGTGTGTGTGTCTTTGTGCGTGTGTCTGTGTCTGTGTGTGTGTGTGTGTGTGTGTGTGTGTGTGTGTGTAGCTGAGGTTCTGTTTGGAGCCTCCATCCATGTCTGGGTCGGGGGGTGGCAGTCAGAGCACCAGCCCCTCACTGATCCTCCTGCAGGTGCTGAGTCCACAGGAGCTGAGATCTTTCAGTGGGGGCTTCAGGCAAAGTGGGGTTAAGTGTCTTGCCCAAGGACACAACAACAGCAGTCATCAGTGGGAGTCGTGAAGTAGGTCTTATGGTGGGCTCGAACCCACAACCTTCAGGCTCAAAGGCCAATGCTCTACCAACTGCCGCCCCCTGTTGTTTGGAGGATCACATTATCATCATGGACTGAGACACATGAAGAAGAGTGAGACACATGAAGAAGAGTGAGACACGTGAAGAAGAGTGAGACACATGAAGAAGAGTGAGACACGTGAAGAAGAGTGAGACACGTGAAGAAGAGTGAGACACGTGAAGAAGAGTGAGACACATGAAGAAGAGTGAGACACGTGAAGAAGAGTGAGACACATGAAGAAGAGTGAGACACATGAAGAAGAGTGAGACACGTGAAGAAGAGTGAGACACGTGAAGAAGAGTGAGACACGTGAAGAAGAGTGAGACACATGAAGAAGAGTGAGACACGTGAAGAAGAGTGAGACACGTGAAGAAGAGTGAGACACGTGAAGAAGAGTGAGACACATGAAGAAGAGTGAGACACGTGAAGAAGAGTGAGACACATGAAGAAGAGTGAGACACGTGAAGAAGAGTGAGACACGTGAAGAAGAGTGAGACACGTGAAGAAGAGTGAGACACATGAAGAAGAGTGAGACACGTGAAGAAGAGTGAGACACGTGAAGAAGAGTGAGACACATGAAGAAGAGTGAGACACGTGAAGAAGAGTGAGACACGTGAAGAAGAGTGAGACACATGAAGAAGAGTGAGACACATGAAGAAGAGTGAAACACATGAAGAAGAGTGAGACACGCAAAGAAGAGTGAGACACGTGAAGAAGAGTGAGACACATGAAGAGTGAGACACATGAAGAAGAGTGAGACACGTGAAGAAGAGTGAGACACATGAAGAAGAGTGAGACACATGAAGAAGAGTGAGACACGTGAAGAAGAGTGAGACACATGAAGAAGAGTTAGACACGTGAAGAACGAGTGAGACACATGAAGAAGAGTGAGACACATGAAGAAGAGTGAGACACGTGAAGAAGAGTGAGACACGCAAAGAAGAGTGAGACACGTGAAGAAGAGTGAGACACATGAAGAATAGTGAGACACATGAAGAAGAGTGAGACACGTGAAGAAGAGTGAGACACATGAAGAAGAGTGAGACACGTGAAGAAGAGTGAGACACGTGAAGAAGAGTGAGACACATGAAGAAGAGTGAAACACATGAAGAAGAGTGAGACACGCAAAGAAGAGTGAGACACGTGAAGAAGAGTGAGACACATGAAGAGTGAGACACATGAAGAAGAGTGAGACACGTGAAGAAGAGTGAGACACATGAAGAAGAGTGAGACACATGAAGAAGAGTGAGACACGTGAAGAAGAGTGAGACACATGAAGAAGAGTTAGACACGTGAAGAAGAGTGAGACACGTGAAGAAGAGTGAGACACATGAAGAAGAGTGAGACACGTGAAGAAGAGTGAGACACATGAAGAAGAGTGAGACACGTGAAGAAGAGTGAGACACGTGAAGAAGAGTGAGACACATGAAGAAGAGTGAGACACGTGAAGAAGAGTGAGACACGTGAAGAAGAGTGAGACACGTGAAGAAGAGTGAGACACGTGAAGAAGAGTGGGACACATGAAGAAGAGTGAGACACGTGAAGAAGAGTGAGACACGTGAAGAAGAGTAAGACACGTGAAGAAGAGTGAGACACGTGAAGAAGAGTGAGACACGTGAAGAAGAGTGAGACACGTGAAGAAGAGTGAGACACATGAAGAAGAGTGAGACACGTGAAGAAGAATGAGACACATGAAGAAGAGTGAGACACACTGAAGAAGAGTAAGACACGTGAAGAAGAGTGAGACACGTGAAGAAGAGTGAGACACGTGACGAAGAGTGAGACACGTGAAGAAGAGTGAGACACATGAAGAAGAGTGAGACACGTGAAGAAGAGTGAGACACGTGAAGAAGAGTGAAACACATGAAGAAGAGTGAGACACGTGAAGAAGAGTGAAACACATGAAGAAGAGTGAGACACGCAAAGAAGAGTGAGACACGTGAAGAAGAGTGAGACACATGAAGAATAGTGAGACACATGAAGAAGAGTGAGACGCGTGAAGAAGAGTGAGACACGTGAAGAAGAGTGAGACACATGAAGAAGAGTGAGACGCATAAAGAAGAGTGAGACGCATGAAGAAGAGTGAGACACGTGAAGAAGAGTGAGGCACGTGAAGAAGAGTGAGACACGTGAAGAAGAGTGAGACACGTGAAGAAGAGTGAGACACGTGAAGAAGAGTGAAACACATGAAGAAGAGTGAGACACGCAAAGAAGAGTGAGACACGTGAAGAAGAGTGAGACACATGAAGAATAGTGAGACACATGAAGAAGAGTGAGACGCGTGAAGAAGAGTGAGACACGTGAAGAAGAGTGAGACACATGAAGAAGAGTGAGACGCATGAAGAAGAGTGAGACGCGTGAAGAAGAGTGAGACACGTGAAGAAGAGTGAGACACGTGAAGAAGAGTGAGACACGTGAAGAAGAGTGAGACACGTGAAGAAGAGTGAGACACGTGAAGAAGAGTGAGACACAAGAAGAAGAGTGAGACACGTGAAGAAGAGTGAGACACAAGAAGAAGAGTGAGACACAAGAAGAAGAGTGAGACACGTGAAGAAGAGTGAGACACAAGAAGAAGAGTGAGACACGTGAAGAAGAGTGAGACATGTGAAGAAGAGTGAGACACGTGAAGAGTGAGGACAGTAGGGTCTGGACTCTTCAGCCTCTGGGCACAGAGAGGAGTGACAGACTGGATGGAATCACATGTGCAGTGAGGTGGAAGCCCCCCCCCCCCCCCCCCCCCCCCCCCCCCCACCTTCTCCCCCCCACCCCCCCCCCCCCCCCCCCCCCCCTCCAGTATTGACCTGATGCCAGTGGGTCCAGAGTCACGACATTGAAGTCTCACAGGTCAGTGGTTGCGGCTCCATGAAAAATGAATCATACTGAATTATGAAGCACAGGGACACATCATCCGACCTCAGTCCTGGGTCTACAGCCTCAGTCCTGGGTCTACAGCCTCAGTCCTGGGTCTACAGCCTCAGTCCTGGATCGACTGAATCTCTGTCTTGGACTTCTCACATTAGTCCTGGTCTCAGGTCTCTGCTTGTTACAAGTCTCTCCATGGCCTCTCTCCAAAGTACATCTGTGACATTATAGTGCCATATGAACCAACTCTGCGGAGCACAGGGACTGGCCTCCTGCTGGGACTCTGAGGAGCACAGGGACTGGCCTCCTGCTGGGACTCTGAGGAGCACAGGGACTGGCCTCCTGCTGGGACTCTGAGGAGCACAGGGACTGGCCTCCTGCTGGGACTCTGAGGAGCACAGGGACTGGCCTCCTGCTGGGACTCTGAGGAGCACAGGGACAGGACTCCTGCTGGGACTCTGAGGAGCACAGGGACTGGCCTCCTGCTGGGACTCTGAGGAGCACAGGGACTGGCCTCCTGCTGGGACTCTGAGGAGCACAGGGACTGGTCTCCTGCTGGGACTCTGAGGAGCACAGGGACTGGCCTCCTGCTGGGACTCTGAGGAGCACAGGGACTGGCCTCCTGCTGGGGCTCTGAGGAGCACAGGGACTGGCCTCCTGCTGGGACTCTGAGGAGCACAGGGACTGGCCTCCTGCTGGGACTCTGAGGAGCACAGGGACTGGCCTCCTGCTGGGACTCTGAGGAGCACAGGGACCGGCCTCCTGCTGGGGCTCTGAGGAGCACAGGGACTGGCCTCCTGCTGGGACTCTGAGGAGCACAGGGACTGTCCTCCTGCTGGGACTCTGAGGAGCACAGGGACTGGCCTCCTGCTGGGACTCTGAGGAGCACAGGGACTGGCCTCCTGCTGGGACTCTGAGGAGCACAGGGACTGGCCTCCTGCTGGGACTCTGAGGAGCACAGGGACTGGCCTCCTGCTGGGACTCTGAGGAGCACAGGGACTGGCCTCCTGCTGGGACTCTGAGGAGCACAGGGACTGGCCTCCTGCTGGGACTCTGAGGAGCACAGGGACTGGCCTCCTGCTGGTGCAGAGGATTCTCTGTGTTCTAAATGTGTCATTGTGGTCGTGCCGAGGCCTAGTTTGGATGTTATTAAGTGGACTCCTTTGCCCTGATTAAAGGTGGACTACATCATGTGAGAAGAGGGGCTCATGCAGGCTCCAGGACAGTTTATTTGTATGGCACTGTTCAAAGGGCAGAACAAAACAAGACACAGCACATTAAAAAGATAAAATTCTGCTGTTTTTAACCTGTATTTAAACATTTTAAGAGAACAAGTCTGTCTCACATTTTCAGGAAGACTTCCAGATTTGAGCTGCACTATATCAGTCCCTGTGCTCCTCGGTGTCGGTTCAGACGCAGCCACAGGTGAATCCACTGCATACACTTTCTAAGCACCTGTTCTCGACACACACAGCTCCATGAAGTAATCTGTGAGTTTATACTGTGGGCGGCACGGTGGCTGAGTGGATAGCACTCTCGCCTCTCAGCAAGAAGGTCCTGGGTTCAAATCCCGGCCGGACCAGGGCCTTTCTGAGTGGAGTTTACATGTTCTCCCCGTGTCTGCGTAGGTTTCCTCCGGGTACTCCGGTTTCCCCTACCACTAAAAATATGTTCAATAGGACTGGCATGCGCCTCCTGTACTGGCCCCTCCCATCTCTGTGTGGAGTGAGAGACAAATGCCCAAAAAATAACAATTGTAAACCGCTTTGTGACTCTGGTCTGTGAAAGGCGGTATATAAATAAAGATTACTTACTACTTACTACTACTACTGTTGAAAGAAATATTCCTGTCGTAGATTACAGGCCTTTTCAAGAGATAGAAATGCAGGTGTCCAGCAGCAAGAACACATCCATCCACACAAACAAAACAAATAAATAGATTATTCTTTAAAGCTAACGATAGTATGTTTGCTGCTGTTTCCAGAACATTCATAAGTAACAGAGCTGACATTCATCTGAAGCTGCAGCAGGTTTGACGTCTGTCACTCAAAAACCCACAACACCACAATATACGTCTTCTCCTCTGATCCACTTCTGGTCTGTCCTTTAAAGGAGCCGTATGTAAGAATCTGAAAGTGGTACTGCAGCCTCTCCCTCTCTCCCTGACTCAGGTTGCACACGGTGAGTTCTGGCGCCCGGATCACAGACTTTCTGATTGGTGAAACGGTGGAGGGCGGGACATCGAGATGAAAACAATAACAAGATTTAGGGACTGGAAAAGTAATTTAGAAATTCAAATATCTCTGAACTACTGTTATCAGTTAAAGAAGGATTGGGAAAGAGCATGTTTTATAAATGCCTTTTGACAGATTAGGGCCCTTTAATGATGACAGATTAGGGCCCTTTAATGACAGATTAGGGCCCTTTAATGACGACAGATTAGGGCCCTTTAATGATGACGGATTAGGGCCCTTTAATGACGACAGATTAGGGCCCTTTAATGATGACGGATTAGGGCCCTTTAATGATGACGGATTAGGGCCCTTTAATGACGACAGATTAGGGCCCTTTGATGATGACAGATTAGGGCCCTTTAATGATGACAGATTAGGGCCCTTTAATGATGACAGATTAGGGCCCTTTAATGACGAAAGATTAGGAACCTTTAATGATGACTTGACATGAAAATCTTACTACTTTGAAGATAAACAGAGAATAATGAGAATAGAGAGAATGAAGCGACAGATGTAGATGACAGATTAGAGCAGATCTCTGAGGGTCACACATCACGGTTTTATGTTCTCTGTGGAAGGCTGGGAATAATGCAATCAGAAGAAGAGGTGGCGAAGGAAATCAGATTTTAAAGTTAGACAATGAGGTAAATTCAGAGGCAGGAGGTCGCCGTCTCAATGCCGGCTGGGAACTCAGATCTACAGCCTCAGTCCTGGGTCTACAGCCTCAGTCCTGGGTCTACAGCCTCAGTCCTGGCTCTACAGCCTCAGTCCTGGGTCTACAGCCCTCAGTCCTGGGTCTACAGCCCTCAGTCCTGGGTCTACAGCCTCAGTCCTGGTCTACAGCCTCAGTCCTGGGTCTACAGCCTCAGTCCTGGGTCTACAGCCTCAGTCCTGGTCTACAGCCTCAGTCCTGGGTCTACATCCTCAGTCCTGGGTCTACAGCCTCAGTCCTGGGTCTACAGCCCTCAGTCCTGGGTCTACAGCCTCAGTCCTGGGTCTACAGCCTCAGTCCTGGGTCTACAGCCTCAGTCCTGGGTCTACAGCCTCAGTCCTGGGTCTAAAGCCTCAGTCCTGGGTCTACGGCCTCAGTCCTGGGTCTACAGCCTCAGTCCTGGGTCTACAGCCTCAGTCCTGGGTCTACAGCCTCAGTCCTGGGTCCACAGCCTCAGTCCTGGGTCTACAGCCTCAGTCCTGGGTCTAAAGCCTCAGTCCTGGGTCTACGGCCTCAGTCCTGGGTCTACAGCCTCAGTCCTGGGTCTACAGCCTCAGTCCTGGGTCTACAGCCTCAGTCCTGGGTCCACAGCCTCAGTCCTGGGTCTACAGCCTCAGTCCTGGGTCTACAGCCTCAGTCCTGGGTCTACAGCCTCAGTCCTGGGTCCACAGCCTCAGTCCTGGGTCTACAGCCTCAGTCCTGGGTCTACAGCCTCAGTCCTGGGTCCACAGCCTCAGTCCTGGGTCTACAGCCTCAGTCCTGGATCTACAGCCTCAGTCCTGGGTCTACAGCCTCAGTCCTGGGTCTACAGCCTCAGTCCTGGGTCTACAGCCTCAGTCCTGGATCTACAGCCTCAGTCCTGGGTCTACAGCCTCAGTCCTGGGTCTACAGCCTCAGTCCTGGGTCTACAGCCTCAGTCCTGGGTCCATCAGGACATTCCAACATTGGTCTCTGCTCCTTTTGGATCAATGTCTCTGTGTGTTTGTTATCGTTGCATTTCCAGCGTTAGAACTGTTTGATTCTCTAATCTGTGTTGGAGAATCAACAGTTTTTTAAGTCCTCTGAGAAAACTACTGTAGTGATTTAGGACGATACAAAAATAAAGTGAATGGAATTGGACCCACGTCAGAATCTGAGCTGTGCAGAAAAGACAATTCCATTTGCAGCGTGTGTTTGCTGGCTGTTGGGGGGTGGGTGTGAGCTGTGAGGGGCCCCCATCATCAGGGTGTGGGGCTGGGGACCACAGAGGGGCCTCAGAGATGAGTCAGTATGTCCCAGAGTACAGCAGCTGTGGTCTCAACATGCAGCCGCGAAAACCGTGCGGAAAGCAATCATGAGTGCGGCACCGTGTGGGGAATAGACCGGTGTGAATTAATTTACAGCTGCTAATGCTAATGCTAACGCTAAGGCCACGGCGCTGGGGAAGGCTGCAGACATTAAGGACCATTGGTTTTTGAGTTTTGAGAAGACTCTGACCTCATATCTAGTGTTCAAACGAGGTCCCTCAGGGATGTGTGCTGGTCCCTTTCCTTTTGGCTCCAAAAACATCAGTCTCTGGAAATATTTACATATTACATACATTTAAATATCAGTTCGTTAAGAAAGTTTGTCAGTGTCTCTTCCATCTGCGGAAACTTCACCACAAACTTTTACCGACGCATCATTGAAAGATAGTGGGTTCTGTGACTGTGTGGTTCTGCAACAGAGTCAAACAAATCAAACAAACAAATTAGGCCTTTTATGACAATAAATTCAGCAAAAATGTTCCTACACGCAATGATTTTCTCACACATAGATTATTGTATCACAACCTGGTCACTCACTGGACAAACACATATCAAATCCATAGAAACCCTCTTCAAAAAGTCCATTAAAATTCTGGATCAAAAGCCTTGGGTCATATCATCACTGCAAAATCCTGGAGAAACACAAAATGGTCAATTTTCAAAACTTCATTAATTTTAAAAACTGTTGCCTTATTTACAAAGCACTTCATGGTCTTGCCCCGCCCCCACTCTCAAATTACATTAAAGCTAGAGTAGTGACAGGTCTCCGCACCCGAGCGTCCTCCAGAGGAGATGTGGAGATCCCACACAGAAAACTACATTTGGACAAACTGTGCTGTCGGTCAGAGGAGGTCGGTCTTGGAACAACCTTCCTACAGACATAAGAGCATGCCCAACATATAGCTCTTTTAAAAATCAACTAAAACACCATTTTAAAGTAAATCAGTCCTGCACTCATTTTAACTAACTGTAATTTCTATAATTGTATATTGTCCTTTTGTATTTTTATTGTTGTGTGACCTGCGTCGGGACTATGGATGTAAATTAGCAGTTTTGCTACAATCTGGCACATTTACAATTTGTGTACAACTTGTATATGATTGTTCATTAATGTGTGTTGTCCCGATCAAATAAATAAATAAATAAATAAAAGAGTCGAGTAATGTAGAGTAGAGTAGAGTAGAGTAATGTAGAGTAGAGTAGAGTAATGTAGAGTAGGGTAGAGTAGAGTAGAGTAGGGTAGAGTAGAGTAGAGTAATGTAGAGTAGAGTAGGGTAGGGTAGAGTAATGTAGAGTAGAGTAGAGTAGAGTAGGGTAGAGTAGAGTAGGGTAGGAGTAATGTAGAGTAGAGTAGAGTGGGGTAGAGTAGAGTAATGTAGAGTAGAGTAGAGTAGAGTAATGTAGAGTAGAGTAGAGTAATGTAGAGTAGAGTAGAGTAGAGTAGAGTAGTGTAGAGTAGAGTAGAGTAATGTAGAGTAGAGTAGAGTAATGTAGAGTAGAGTAGAGTAATGTAGAGTAGAGTAATGTAGAGTAGATTAGAGTAGGGTAGAGTAATGTAGAGTAGAGTAGGGTAGGTTAGAGTAATGTAGAGTAGGGTAGAGTAGAGTAGGGTAGAGTAGAGTAGGGTAGAGTAGAGTAATGTAGAGTAGAGTAGAGTAATGTAGAGTAGAGAGTAGAGTAGAGTAATGTAGAGTAGAGTAGAGTAATGTAGAGTAGAGTAGAGTAGGGTAGAGTAATGTAGAGTAGAGTAGGGTAGGGTAGAGTAATGTAGAGTAGGGTAGAGTAATGTAGAGTAGAGTTATGTAGAGTAGAGTAGAGTAGAGTAGAGTAATGTAGAGTAGAGTAGAGTAGAGTAAGTAGTAGTAGAGTAGAGTAGAGTAATGTAGAGTAGAGTAGAGTAATGTAGAGTAGAGTAGAGTAATGTAGAGTAGAGTAGAGTAGAGTAGAGTAATGTAGAGTAGAGTAGAGTAATGTAGAGTAGAGTAGAGTAATGTAGAGTAGAGTAATGTAGAGTAGAGTAATGTAGAGTAGATTAGAGTAGGGTAGAGTAATGTAGAGTAGAGTAGGGTAGGTTAGAGTAATGTAGAGTAGGGTAGAGTAGAGTAGGGTAGAGTAGAGTAGGGTAGAGTAGAGTAATGTAGAGTAGAGTAGAGTAATGTAGAGTAGAGTAGAGTAGAGTAATGTAGAGTAGAGTAGAGTAATGTAGAGTAGAGTAGAGTAGGGTAGAGTAATGTAGAGTAGAGTAGGGTAGGGTAGAGTAATGTAGAGTAGAGTAGAGTAATGTAGAGTAGAGTTATGTAGAGTAGAGTAGAGTAGAGTAGAGTAATGTAGAGTAGAGTAGAGTAGAGTAATGTAGAGTAGAGTAGAGTAGAGTAATGTAGAGTAGAGTAGAGTAATGTAGAGTAGAGTAGAGTAATGTAGAGTAGAGTAGAGTAGAGTAATGTAGAGTAGAGTAGAGTCATGTAGAGTAGAGTAATGTAGAGTAGAGTAGAGTAATGTAGAGTAGAGTAGAGTAATGTAGAGTAGAGTAATGTAGAGTAGAGTAGAGTAATGTAGAGTAGAGTAGAGCAGAGTAATGTAGAGTAGAGTAGAGTAATGCAGAGTAGAGTAGAGTAGAGTAATGTAGAGTAGAGTAGAGTAGAGTAGAGTAATGCAGAGTAGAGTAGAGTAATGTAGAGTAGAGTAGAGTAGGGTAGAGTAATGTAGAGTAGAGTAGAGTAGAGTAATGTAGAGTAGAGTAATGTAGAGTAGAGTTATGTAGAGTAGAGTAATGTAGAGTAGAGTAGAGTAGAGTAATGTAGAGTAGAGTAATGTAGAGTAGAGTAGAGTAATGTAGAGTAGAGTAGAGTAATGTAGAGTAGAGAAGAGTAATGTAGAGTAGAGTAGAGTAATGTAGAGTAGAGTAATGTAGAGTAGAGTAGAGCAGAGTAATGTAGAGTAGAGTAGAGTAATGCAGAGTAGAGTAGAGTAGAGTAATGTAGAGTAGAGTAGAGTAGAGTAATGTAGAGTAGAGTAGAGTAGAGTAATGTAGAGTAGAGTAATGTAGAGTAGAGTAGAGCAGAGTAATGTAGAGTAGAGTAATGCAGAGTAGAGTAGAGTAGAGTAGAGTAATGTAGAGTAGAGTAGAGTAGAGTAATGTAGAGTAGAGTAATGTAGAGTAGAGTAATGTAGAGTAGAGTAGAGTAGAGTAATGCAGAGTAGAGTAGAGTAGAGTAATGCAGAGTAGAGTAGAGTAATGTAGAGTAGAGTAATGTAGAGTAGAGTAATGTAGAGTAGAGTTATGTAGAGTAGAGTAATGTAGAGTAGAGTAGAGTAGTAATGTAGAGTAGAGTAATGTAGAGTAGAGTAGAGTAATGTAGAGTAGAGTAATGTAGAGTAGAGTAGAGTAGAGTAATGTAGAGTAGAGTAGAGTAATGTAGAGTAGAGTAGATTAATGTAGAGTAGAGTAGAGTAATGTAGAGTAGAGTAGAGTAGAGTAATGTAGAGTAGAGTAGAGCAGAGTAATGTAGAGTAGAGAAGAGTAATGCAGAGTAGAGTAGAGTAATGTAGAGTAGAGTAGAGTAATGTAGAGTAGAGTAGAGTAGAGTAGAGTAATGTAGAGTAGAGTAATGCAGAGTAGAGTAGAGTAGAGTAATGTAGAGTAGAGTAGAGTAATGTAGAGTAGAGTAGAGTAATGTAGAGTAGAGTAGGGTAGAGTAGAGTAGAGTAGAGTAATGTAGAGTAGAGTAGAGTAGAGTAATGCAGAGTAGAGTAGAGTAGCGTAATGCAGAGTAGAGTAGAGTAATGTAGAGTAGAGTAGAGTAGAGTAGAGTAATGTAGAGTAGAGTAGAGTAATGTAGAGTAGAGTAGCCTCTGGTCCTGGGCTCAGAGACTGTTTTTTAGAGGAACATTTTTTCATGTTTCCAAAACATTAAACTCTATTTTCTTTAAATGTTATAAATGTGTGGAACATGTGGAGCCAGAGCAACAGAGAGACCACAGAGACCTCAACATGTGACATCACAGTGGGAGGATGTCGTGCATCTGTGCAATAACCTGGATAATAACAGAATGTGCAATAACCACAGCTGATCAGGGCGGAGCCAGAGCAGAGTTTGTTTCACTAAAGTGTGGACTTAAAGAAAATCGAAGGATTTAACACTTTAATATTAATAATGCATCGGTTTTATACAGCGCTTTTTTGGACACTCAAAGACGCTTCACATGTGTCATTATTCTTTCTCTCCAAACACGGTGGTGATAAACTACTACTGTAGCCACAGCTGCCCTGGGGCACACTGACAGAAGCGAGGCAGCCAGTCTGTGCCATCGGCCCCTCCCACCACCACCAACCATTCACACACACACCAGACTCATTCTAGGCAATGGGGGTGAAGTGTCTTGCCTAAGGACACAACGGCAGTTTGGCACTTTACAGCCGCAGCCGCCCCACTGTGGCTGGTGTTCCCAGAGGTTAAGTGTCTTGCCCAAGGACACAACGACAGTAGTCAGTGGGAGTCGATGGTGAAAGTCTTGAGCGGGGCTTGAACCCACGACCTTCTGGCTCAAAGACCAACGCTCTACCAACTGAGCTACTGCCGCCTTACTTTACATGTAAACATTCCATTGTACCTTTGCTCTGTTGGTTCTTCTGCTCCTGTTCTTTCCTCTGAAACTGAGCTGTGTTTGGTCCTGGATCAGATTCTACTCTGGACCAGGACAGACCAGGACAGACCAGGCCAGACCAGGACAGACCAGGCCAGACCAGGCCAGACCAGGACAGACCAGGACAGACCAGGAACCAGACCAGACCACAGGACCTGTATGTATACTGAGACAGGTCTGTAGTATACTGAGACCAGTATACTGAGACAGGTCTGTATGTATACTGAGACAGGTCCAGACCAGGACAGACCAGGACAGACCAGACAGACAGACAGGTCTGTATGTATACTGAGACAGGTCTGTATGTATACTGAGACAGAGGTCTGTATGTATACTGAGACAGAGGTCTGTATGTATACTGAGACAGGTCTGTATGTATACTGAGACAGGTCTGTATGTATACTGAGACAGGTCTGTATGTATACTGAGACAGGTCTGTATGTATACTGAGACAGGTCTGTATGTATACTGGGACAGAGGTCTGTATGTATACTGAGACAGGTCTGTATGTATACTGAGACAGAGGTCTGTATGTATACTGAGACAGGTCTGTATGTATACTGAGACAGGTCTGTATGTATACTGAGACAGGTCTGTATGTATACTGAGACAGGTCTGTATGTATACTGAGACAGAGGTCTGTATGTATACTGAGACAGGTCTGTATGTATACTGAGACAGAGGTGTGTATGTATACTGAGACAGGTCTGTATGTATACTGAGACAGAGGTCTGTATGTATACTGAGACAGGTCTGTATGTATACTGAGACAGGTCTGTATGTATACTGAGACAGAGGTGTGTATGTATACTGAGACAGGTCTGTATGTATACTGAGACAGGTCTGTATGTATACTGAGACAGAGGTCTGTATGTATACTGAGACAGGTCTGTATGTATACTGAGACAGGTCTGTATGTATACTGAGACAGGTCTGTATGTATACTGAGACAGGTCTGTATGTATACTGAGACAGGTCAGGGCCGTGGGGTGAATCCAAAATCAACACTGAAACTATTACCTTAAACCAGCCATTCCCAAACTCAGTAACACCGAGGCCCCCTTAAAAATCTGACGGGTCTGCGTGGCCCCCCAAAATAATAACCAAGAAGACAACATTAAGAATAGGCTCTTCTGGTTATTTTATTTTGGGGAAATAGCCTCTGCTACAAACATTGTAATACAAAAATGATTACAGTGGATTATTCAAGTCAAATAATGAACACAAATATTTTAATATTACAAACAAAACATTATAAATTTAACATTAAATAATTATATTATTATTTAATAATATTAATTATATATTATATATTTTTTCATGACCTCCCGTGGCCCCCCTGCAGTACCCTCGCGGCCCACCAGGGGGCCGCGGACACCACTTTGGGAGACACTGCCTTAAACTAATACTTTATGACATTTTTGGGTGACATTGTGTGTTTTTGTTGGTTTTGGAAAAGTTTGTATTTTAGCGCGATGACAACACACTGCTGTGTGTGTAGTGAGTCAGGACACTAAAGTGTGTGTTTGTGTGTCTCCTTCAGGGCCTCGGAGTCGTCCACAGCGTGAGACAAAGGAGGAGCTGAGACTGTGGTCTGCCTCCTGCTGCTACCTCCTCCCACCCCCAGAGGACCTGCCTGGGCCTGGTCCGGTCTCTGCTCCCTGGTCTCTCCCTGGTCTCTCTCTGGTCTCTCTCTGGTCTCTCTCTGGTCTCTCTCTGGTCTCTCTCTGGTCTCTCTCTGGTCTCTCTCTAGTCTCTATCTGGTCTCTTTGGTCTCTCTCTGGTCTCTATCTGGTCTCTCTTTGGTCTCTCTCTGGTCTCTCTCTGGTCTCTATCTGGTCTCTCTGGTCTCTATCTGGTCTCTCTGGTCTCTCTCTGGTCTCTCTCTGGTCTCTCTTTGGTCTCTCTCTGGTCTCTGGTCCCGCTGCTGCTTCAGGATGGCCGGTCTGTCTCTGCTCTCAGCTCTGCTCCTGCTGTTGGCGCCCACAGGGGAAGGTGAGCAACACAACACTGGGAGGCTGTAGACCCAGGACTGAGGCTGTAGACCCAGGACTGAGGCCGTAGACCCAGGACTGAGGCTGTGGACCCAGGACTGAGGCCGTAGACCCAGGACTGAGGCTGTAGACCCAGGACTGAGGCTGTAGACCCAGGACTGAGGCCGTAGACCCAGGACTGAGGCCGTAGACCCAGGACTGAGGCTGTAGACCCAGGACTGAGGCCGTAGACCCAGGACTGAGGCCGTAGACCCAGGACTGAGGCTGTAGACCCAGGACTGAGGCTGTAGACCCAGGACTGAGGCCGTAGACCCAGGACTGAGGCCGTAGACCCAGGACTGAGGCTGTAGACCCAGGACTGAGGCCGTAGACCCAGGACTGAGGCCGTAGACCCAGGACTGAGGCCGTAGACCCAGGACTGAGGCTGTAGACCCAGGACTGAGGCTGTAGACCCAGGACTGAGACTGTAGACCCAGGACTGAGGCTGTAGATCCAGGACTGAGGCTGTAGACCCAGGACTGAGGCTGTAGACCCAGGACTGAGGCTGTAGACCCAGGACTGAGGCTGTGGACCCAGGACTGAGGCTGTGGACCCAGGACTGAGGCTGTAGACCCAGGACTGAGGCTGTAGATCCAGGACTGAGGCTGTAGATCCAGGACTGAGGCTGTAGACCCAGGACTGAGGCCGTAGACCCAGGACTGAGGCTGTAGACCCAGGACTGAGGCTGTAGACCAGGACTGAGGCTGTAGACCCAGGACTGAGGCTGTAGACCCAGGACTGAGGCTGTAGACCCAGGACTGAGGCTGTAGACCCAGGACTGAGGCTGTAGACCCAGGACTGAGGCTGTAGACCCAGGACTGAGGCATGTTCTAATGTCTCTCTCTGATTGTTTTGTTCTTCCTGTTAAAGATTTACTCTGCCTTTGTGTTTTGTAAGATAACGTAGCATTAGCATGATAACGTAGCATTAGCATGATAACGTAGCATTAGCATGATAACGTAGCATTAGCATGATAACGTAGCATTAGCATGATAACGTAGCATTAGCATGATAACGTAGCATTAGCATGATAACGTAGCATTAGCATGATAACGTAGCATTAGCATGATAACGTAGCATTAGCATGATAACGTAGCATTAGCATGAAAGGACACGATCCCTTCAGTCAGATCTCTATCTACAGCTGGCCTTTGTAACCACACCCCCGCGGAGCACAAACCACTGCCTCCATGGAACCCGCACACATGGGCACTAAAGCCTAATCCTAATCTCATGTTTGTGTTGGAAATTACACATTCAATTTCAATTCACCTCCACACACATGACTCTATTGGTAGCATTGGTAGCATTGGTAGCATTGGTAGCAGTAGTAGCATTGGTAGCAGTAGTAGCATTGGTAGCAGTAGTAGCATTGGTAGCAGTAGTAGCATTGGTAGCAGTAGTAGCATTGGTAGCAGTAGTAGCATTGGTAGCTGTAGTAGCATTGGTAGCTGTAGTAGCATTGGTAGCTGTAGTAGCATTGGTAGCTGTAGTAGCATTGGTAGCATTGGTAGCAGTAGTAGCATTGGTAGCAGTAGTAGCATTGGTAGCAGTAGTAGCATTGGTAGCAGTAGTAGCATTGGTAGCAGTAGTAGCATTGGTAGCAGTAGTAGCATTGGTAGCAGTAGTAGCATTGGTAGCGTAGTAGCATTGGTAGCAGTCAGGTAGCATTGGTAGCAGTAGTAGCATTGGTAGCATTGGTAGCATAGTAGCATTGGTAGCAGTAGTAGCATTGGTAGCAGTAGTAGCATTGGTAGCAGTAGTAGCATTGGTAGCTGTAGTAGCATTGGTAGCTGTAGTAGCATTGGTAGCAGTAGTAGCATTGGTAGCATTGGTAGCATTGGTAGCTGTAGTAGCATTGGTAGCAGTAGTAGCATTGGTAGCATTGGTAGCATGTAGTAGCATTGGTAGCTGTAGTAGCATTGGTAGCATTGGTAGCAGTAGTAGCATTGGTAGCGTAGTAGCATTGGTAGCATTGTAGCATTGGTAGCGTAGTAGCATTGGTAGCAGTAGTAGCATTGGTAGCAGTAGTAGCATTGGTAGCAGTAGTAGCATAGTAGCAGTAGTAGCATTGGTAGCAGCATAGTAGCATTGGTAGCAGTAGTAGCATTGGTAGCAGTAGTAGCATTGGGTAGCAGTAGTAGCATTGGTAGCATTAGTAGCATTGGTCATAGTAGCATTGGTAGCGTAGTAGCATTGGTAGCAGTAGTAGCATTGGTAGCAGTAGTAGCATTGGTAGCAGTAGTAGCATTGGTAGCATTGGTAGCATTGGTAGCAGTAGTAGCATTGGTAGCATAGTAGCATTGGTAGCTGTAGTAGCATTGGTAGCATAGTAGCATTGGTAGCAGTAGTAGCATTGGTAGCAGTAGTAGCATTGGTGGTAGCATTGGTAGCATGTAGTAGCATTGGTAGCAGTAGTAGCATTGGTAGCAGTAGTAGCATTGGTAGCAGTAGTAGCATTGGTAGCAGTAGTAGCATTGGTAGCATTAGTAGCATTGGTAGCAGTAGTAGCATTGGTAGCAGTAGTAGCATTGGTAGCAGTAGTAGCATTGGTAGCATGGTACAGTAGTAGCATTGGTAGCATAGTAGCATTGGTAGCAGTAGTAGCATTGGTAGCAGTAGTAGCATGGTAGCAGTAGTAGCATTGGTAGCAGTAGTAGCATTGGTAGCAGTAGTAGCATTGGTAGCATTGGTAGCAGTAGTAGCATTGGTAGCAGTAGTAGCATTGGTAGCAATAGTAGCATTGGTAGCAGTAGTAGCATTGGTAGCAGTAGTAGCAATAGTAGCATTGGTAGCTGTAGTAGCATTGGTAGCAGTAGTAGCATTGGTAGCAGTAGTAGCATTGGTAGCATTGGTAGCAGTAGTAGCATTGGTAGCAGTAGTAGCAATAGTAGCATTGGTAGCAGTAGTAGCATTGGTAGCAGTAGTAGTAGCATTGGTAGCATGTAGTAGCATTGGTAGCAGTAAGCAGTAGTAGCATGTTGGTAGCAGTAGTAGCATTGGTAGCAGTAGTAGCATTGGTAGCAGTAGCAGTATTGGTAGCAGTAGTAGCATTGGTAGCAGTAGTAGCATTGGTAGCAGTAGTAGCATTGGTAGCAGTAGTAGCATTGGTAGCATAGTAGCATTGGTAGCAGTAGTAGCATTGGTAGCAGTAGTAGCATGGTAGGTAGCATTAGGTAGCATTGGTAGCAGTAGTAGCATTGGTAGCTAGTAGTAGCATTGGTAGCTGTAGTAGCATTGGTAGCAGTAGTAGCATTGGTAGCAGTAGTAGCATTGGTAGCATGGTAGCAGTAGTAGCATTGGTAGCATAGTAGCAGTAGTAGCATTGGTAGCAGTAGTAGCATTGGTAGCAGTAGTAGCATTGTAGCATTGGTAGCATTGGTAGCATTGGTAGCAGTAGTAGCATTGGTAGCAGTAGTAGCATTGGTAGCAGTAGTAGCATTGGTAGCATTGGTAGCAGTAGTAGCATTGGTAGCAGTAGTAGCAATAGTAGCATTGGTAGCAGTAGTAGCATTGGTAGCAGTAGTAGCATTGGTAGCATTGGTAGCATTGGTAGCATTGGTAGCAGTAGTAGCATTGGTAGCAGTAGTAGCATTGGTAGCAATAGTAGCATTGGTAGCAGTAGTAGCATTGGTAGCAGTAGTAGCAATAGTAGCATTGGTAGCTGTAGTAGCATTGGTAGCAGTAGTAGCATTGGTAGCAGTAGTAGCATTGGTAGCATTGGTAGCAGTAGTAGCATTGGTAGCAGTAGTAGCAATAGTAGCATTGGTAGCAGTAGTAGCATTGGTAGCAGTAGTAGCATTGGTAGCATTGGTAGCATTGGTAGCAGTAGCAGTAGTAGCAATAGTAGCATTGGTAGCAGTAGTAGCATTGGTAGCAGTAGTAGCATTGGTAGCATTGGTAGCTGTAGTAGCATTGGTAGCTGTAGTAGCATTGGTAGCAGTAGTAGCATTGGTAGCATTGGTAGCATTGGTAGCTGTAGTAGCATTGGTAGCTGTAGTAGCATTGGTAGCAGTAGTAGCATTGGTAGCATTGGTAGCATTGGTAGCTGTAGTAGCATTGGTAGCTGTAGTAGCATTAGTAGCAGTAGTAGCATTGGTAGCAGTAGTAGCATTGGTAGCTGTAGTAGCATTAGTAGCAGTAGTAGCATTGGTAGCAGTAGTAGCATTGGTAGCAATAGTAGCATTGGTAGCAGTAGTAGCATTGGTAGCAGTAGTAGCATTGGTAGCAGTAGTAGCATTGGTAGCATTGGTAGCAATAGTAGCATTGGTAGCAGTAGTAGCATTGGTAGCAGTAGTAGCAATAGTAGCATTGGTAGCAGTAGTAGCATTGGTAGCAGTAGTAGCATTGGTAGCAGTAGTAGCATTGGTAGCATTGGTAGCATTGGTAGCATTGGTAGCAGTAGTAGCATTGGTAGCAGTAGTAGCATTGGTAGCTGTAGTAGCATTGGTAGCAGTAGTAGCATTGGTAGCAGTAGTAGCATTGGTAGCTGTAGTAGCATTGGTAGCTGTAGTAGCATTGGTAGCATTGGTAGCATTAGTAGCAGTAGTAGCATTGGTAGCAGTAGTAGCATTGGTAGCAGTAGTAGCATTGGTAGCAGTAGTAGCATTGGTAGCAGTAGTAGCATTGGTAGCATTGGTAGCAATAGTAGCATTGGTAGCAGTAGTAGCATTGGTAGCAGTAGTAGCATTGGTAGCATTGGTAGCAGTAGTAGCATTGGTAGCAGTAGTAGCATTGGTAGCATTGGTAGCATTGGTAGCATTGGTAGCAGTAGTAGCATTGGTAGCAGTAGTAGCAGTAGTAGCATTGGTAGCAGTAGTAGCATTGGTAGCAGTAGTAGCATTGGTAGCATTGGTAGCATTGGTAGCAGTAGTAGCATTGGTAGCAGTAGTAGCATTGGTAGCAGTAGTAGCATTGGTAGCAGTAGTAGCATTGGTAGCATTGGTAGCAGTAGTAGCATTG